TGGGCATGAGCCCTGACAGGGAATTGAACTGGCGACCTCTTGGTGCATAGGTCTGTGCTCAACCACTGAGCCACACTGGCCAAGCCAATTACTACTCTTACAGTTTGAATTTTAAGGCAGAAAGTGATGGAAGGTGAGTGTGACTAGAAAGTTAGGTCATATGCCTCCCATGCCTCCCGTGCCTAGGGGATTGTACTTTAATCTTTCAAGTAATGGTGCACATTTTAGAGTTTAAAGCTGGAGAGTATTTGTCTTTTCATGGTCAGATTAGCAGCATGTAGACTATAAAGCCCTGCATTTTACCATGTTGAATCAGTTCTCTTTGATAATAGTTGTTCAGCCATCTTAATGAACCCTCTTAACCCAATTTGAGCAATTCATATAAAAGAAAACAGATCCCTTGATTAGGAAATACTATCTGGTGTGAGCAGGTGGGTGGGCAGGCCTCCCTCTCTTCCTCCCTCCTGAATAGGATTACTTAGGCACAGAATTTAAGTTTTGTAAATGTATTCTGATAATACTATTGTTTGTTTAGTACATATTTGAATTGATTTGAAAAAGTGACCTTAGAATCATTATCACTTGACTGTATAAAATACATAGAAAATCCAAAATACTCTGCAAACTATTAGGAAGCTAATTTAATATCAGTATGTAAAAATTATTTCTACATACCAGCATATAGAAACAAGGGTATTAAAAGATGAAAACTTTTAATTGATACCATTTGTAATAGCCCCAACAAGGGGGAGTCTTCTCAAACTATTAGCTTTTGTATGTGTTTTCTTGTTAGTTTTGACTAGTGGTGATGATAATAGCCATCCAGGAATGCTTTCTTGGCCCTTTTCTCAAATTTTAATATAAGGTTTATTAAAGTTCAAAGATATTGTCATGATCTCTTTAATAAATAATTATAATCAGTTTAAAAGAATTATTTATATGTAATGTTTTGTAAATTTGTTTTTTCTGGCATCATTAAAAGCATCAGGTATATTTAGAGGTGGGAAAGGACAGAACTAATATTTGAGTGCATTTTGTATTCTATGTTTGTACTTTAAATTATATCAGTTGTAACTGTTATATGGAAATCTATATAGCTGTGTTTCCTTGTATTATACACTAAAAGCACATTATGTCCATCTTTTGTGGCACTTCTTGAAATTATGTTTGTATTATTTGTTTAATGTCAGACACCAGATAGTCACATTATGTAATGTAATCTGTCATTTACAGATTTGTTCTCCTTTACCCCCATTGTATCCTGACCTGAAGGCAGAATTAATGGAGTTCTTGTTCCTCATTGCTACTCTAGATGATTGTTCTTTCACCTCCCTAAAAGTCTCTTCACTTTCACTAGATTATATCACTATCTACCTCTCCTTATGTGACTATTTCCTTGTCATTGTTGTTTGAATGGCTTAGTTAACATTACTTTTCTTACTGGTTTTGGCATTTTAGATAAAAACTCATCTTGGTAGGAATTTAATTTCTCTTGAAAGCTTGACTCTCTCCATCTAGAAGTTTTGTGACTGCCTTCACTAGGTTCCAGGGATCTTTAGGGCTCCCTACTTTAGAGCTAGATCTTAAAGTAGAACCTCAGGACTCTATGGAAAAGGGATATTGTAGAACCAGTGACCATGCTTAACAGCTGCTTGACTCAGGGCTTACCTGTTGGGCTCTGTCAGTTTTCTCCCACCTTCCTGGAGGAGCCATAGCATCTGACAGTAGTGTTTTGCTGCCTTTTTCAGGCTCTCTTTTTAGAGAATCCAACTCCTGGCCATAACAGCCTAACTCCAGTTTTCTGTTATGTTGGACAATAGTCTCTCAAGGAACATTAAGTTCCCCTGTTACTCTGCACCCAGAACCTATTAAGCCCACAGCTTCAGTCCCATGAACCTCTTTGTTTCTTTTTGATTCATGGAATTGTTATCACTGAATATCAGAATATAGTTTCTAGCAGTCTTTTCTAACATCTTGATTTTATTTATAAGTGGAGGAAGGAGCTTAACAATAGCTTATTGCCTCCAGGTTGACATTTCTGTTCTCCATTCAAGTTCATGGGGCTCTTTTCCTTGCCTTGCAAACTAATCATTCCCTCCCCTCACTTTTTTACTTTTAATATACCACTTAGTTGCTGTCTCTAAGAAGCTTTCCCTCTGTTCCCATACGGCGCCAGGTTTACTTCCAGTCTGTACTCCTAGCACTCTGTACATATCTCTTATAACATTTAACATAGTTTTTTCCCCCCACATTTTCTGGCTGTTTGCCTTAACCATGACGCTTTAAGTTTTGAAGTTTAAACAAGGAGTTTTCATTCATCATTGTATTCCTAGGACTTATAATTTGACAGACACTTAATGCTTATTAATATGAACTGAATTAAATGTTGATTGTCATATTTTCATATTGTTCATAGTTTTAAAACCAGCTTGATGGTGAGATGTTAATGTAAGAGGTTTTAAACCATGTTTATCTCATATTCTTGTCAGTATTGTACAATGTTCTAAAATCAGTATTTGTTCATTTTTATTGATTTTGGGGGGGAAGGGGCGACATCACTTTGTTGTTCCACTTATTCATGCATTCATTGATTACTTCTTGTATGTGCCCTGACTGGGGATCAAACTCGCAATCCCAGTGTATTGGGACCATGCTCTAACCAACTGAGTTACCCAGCCAGGGCTCTAAGATCAGTCTTTATTTGACAAAAGAAATTGACCAGAAGGTGGAAGTATGGCGATTAACCTTTTATAAAATACCAGTTATAACTGAGTTTAGAGCTAGATGTAAAAATGGTTTGTGTGATTAGTTTCGGCTTGGCCAACACAAATAAACACTTTGTAGTGCCAAAGCTGAAAAGTGACAGAAAAAGGAGTTGGAATAAAATAAGAGAAATTAGCCAGTGGAATGGCAGAGATTATAATGAGCACCAAGTCATGTACTCCTCATAACACTAAAGAAATTCAAAAGGAAAGAGAGAAGAAATTCCAACTGAAATACCTGTTTGAGGAGATAACAGTGTCAAGATACACAGCCCTTAATGCTGTAATAACTCTCAATGCCCCTCTCTCTCTCTATAAGAACTAATTTCATAAAGTTGACCCTGAGTGATCAGGAAAAAGATTTAAGCTGTGGTCTCTATACTTTTCTATGGAGTTAGATAAATAATACATTTTTAAAGTTTTCCATAAAATATGGTTATGAGTACACAGCTTGGATTAAGCCTTTGCTTATTTGGAACCTTCACTTACTGAAAATCCTCTTTTCTACTAATCACATTGTCATTTATGTACTTTGTTGTGTTTACCTGGCAGAAGTAGTACTCATATGGATTTCTTTTATTTATTATTAGTAGATTAAGTATTACTATAGGTTTGCTTTATTTTTATGGTACTGTACCTGCAAAACTCAAGAGTAAAGGTATTTAAATCATCACTGCTTTAAAGTGTGTACCTTCTAAAAATTAAGGCTATATTCAGCAGTTAAAAAAATATGTAGGAAGATCAAAACAGTATGTTTTGTGTTTGTGTAATGATCTTTCCAGTGGTAAGTTAGTTCAGGTAAATTTCTCCTTTAGTATTCTTTTATCATTTTTAAATGTGTGATTTGTCTGTTGTCTGTTTTATTTATTCCTGTTGCCTTTAGCTTTTTTGTTTGTTTGTTTTTTTAATCCTCACCCAAGGATATGTTTATATTGATTTTAGAGAGAGAGAGAAAGGGAAAGAGAGAAATGTTGAAATGAGAAAAACATGGATTGGTTGCCACCTGTTTGTGCCCGGACCTGGGATCAAACCTGCAACCTAGGTACTATGTGCCTTGACCAGGAATCGAACCCACCAACCTTTTGTTGTATGGGACAATGCTTCAGCCAGCTGAGCCACTGGTCAGGAAGGATCAGCTTTGTTTTTAAAGGGCTGTCATTCTGTTATTGTAGTCTATTTATATTTTCTAAGATAGTTTAGTGCCTATTTGCTGCCTTAGAAATTCACTATATTTTCTTATTCTCAAGAATTAGAAAAACTTAATTCCAAAATTATTATCAATTGATAACATTGTTACCTAAACTTTAAAATGTTATATTACCTTGCCTGGCTGGTGTGGCTCAGTGGTTGAGCATCAGCCCATGCACCAAGAGGTTGCCAGTTCAATTCCTGGTCAGGGCACATGCCCAGATTATGGGCCAAATACCTGGTGGGGGCATGTAGGAGGTAGCCAGTTGATGGTTCTCATCGATGTTTCTCTCTCCCTCTCCCTACCTCTCTCTCTAAAATCAATAAAGAAAATAAAAATAAATAGAATGTTATATTACTTCCCCAAACTGGTGTGGCTTAGTGGATTGAGCATCAGTCCATGGACTGAGAAGTCCCAGTTTGATTCCTGGTCAGGGCACATGCCTGGGTTGTGGGCTCGATCCCCAGTCTGGGCCATGCATTAGGCAGCCCATCAATGTTTCTCTCTCTTTCCCTTCCTCTCTCTCAAAAAAAAAAAATCAAACATATTTTTAAAATGTTGTATTTCCCAAATACCTCAATATAATTAAAGTATAGCTAAATGGTGAGATGACATATAATGAAGATTTTGTTTACTAAAGAATGAGAATATTGGGTATTGATGTTAAATACTATAACCAGTACATAAAGTTTTATTGTCATTTATCTCATTTGCTAGATTTTGAATAAACTTAAAAACATTTTTTAAAATATAAAGTATACTATTCCATAGAATTTGCTAACCTTTTTAAAAATCTTTATTGTTGAAAGTATTACAGATTTCTCCTTTTTCCCCCCGATTGACCCCCCTCCTTCCTGCTCCTGCCTCTCCCCCCAGCCTTCACCCCACTATTGTCTATGTCCATTGGTTATACATATATGTTCTTTGGTTTATCTCTTTCCACCCCCTTGCTAACCTTTTATAAAAGAGAATTCTTAGCATGTTCTTGATGATAACTTGGAACTTAACTTGTTTTCTTTTAATTTCATGTTTTAATTGTTCTCTTATAGAATGTTTCTCCATCCCAGAGAGATGAAGTGATTCAGTGGCTGGCCAAACTCAAGTATCAATTCAACCTTTACCCAGAAACATTCGCTCTGGCTAGCAGTCTTTTGGACAGGTTTTTAGCTACTGTAAAGGTAATTATTTTAGGATACACTTAAACATGACCTCCTGTTTAAGGGTTTTAATGCTAAACTAGGGGCAATTAGTAAACATTCTATAAGATGGAAAGCAATGGGAAAACCTTCGTTGATATATGTACCTCTAAGACATGATGTCTTCTAATGCTTTAAATTAAGAAATGTAATTTTTTTTTCTACAAGTATTCCTAACTTATACTTAACCTATCAAATTTTTGATCTCCTGATTTTAATACAAACCATATATAGCATTGGCATAATGTTTAGTCATCTTTTAACACATTGATGTATTAATGTGACAGTTAATCAAACTAGAAAAGTGTAAGCATGTTGCACATTTTCTGTCACTTCTTGTTTATTGAATGTTGTGTGGTTTTCTGAACAGTATATACTCCCTTGAAGTATACATTTGGAGCATAACAAGATGAACTGAACTGTCATAAAATAACTTGTATTTTTGTTGAATGGCAGCATACCTATATATGAGTAAGTTTCATATTGTCCCTGTTATTATATCTTTGGTCATATTATGCAAAATCAGTCATAGTGGGCCCTCAACAGATTTAAAGCATAAAATTGGTATTTATTTAATGACAAGGCATAAAAAGTAAAAAAGCGACTCAGTTGTTATTTGTATGCCTAGGAATATGTAAGCAGAGGAAACTATGAATTCTTTACTGAGAGTACTACACTCTTTCATATTAGGAATAAAAAGTAGAAGCCATAGAATTTGGATGACTATTCAGTTACCTTTTATGTTTCAAACTAAATAGCCATCCAAATTCTTAAGTCTAGGGACTTAAAAAACCCTAATTATAATGATACTAATTGCCTGAAATCTGAGTTGTCTGAGATGCCTACTTTATTTCAGTATCAAGTCCCCCCATCCCTCCACCATAGCTCCTTACAACAATTTCCCTTTCACAGAGAAAGATGTGTTTAAGGTCAGTGTCCTTTCTTGGGTTGTGTATCCTTCAAAAATTATTAATGAACTAGTTTCTGTTATAGAAAAAAATTATTACTGACCTTATTAAACTTTTTTCTTTATTGATTTTAGAGAGAGAAGTAGAAACATCTCTGAGAGACAACATTGATTGGCTGCCCCATGCCCCCCACTGGGGATTTGGTCCACAACCTGGGCATGTGCCCTGACTGGGAATCAAACCGGCGACCTCTTGGTGCATGGGTCGACGCTCAGCCACTGAGACACACCAGCCAGGCTTATTAAACATTTTAAACTGATTTGGGCAAGGTTCTAACACAATTAGATAATTTTGCCAAGTGTGATCTCATTTTTTCATATTTCTTATTTAATGGGTCCTACCATGTTACTAGCATCAGATACTACTGTTATTTACAGATGGTTAGTCTATATTGAAATAATCTAAAAATGTATTCATAGTTTAAGAAAAGGCACTTAAACTATACCATAAAGGGGCTACAACGGTGAATAGAGCCTTAATTCTAGCTGAGCAGAATGAAGTGCTATGAAGCTCTAAAAGTATGGCTCCTGACCCCTCTCCCAGACTTGCTGATTTCTGAATCTTTAGTAGGTGAGATCTGTATGTTTGTATTTAAAGAATACATCTTGATGTACATCTAGGACATAGAACTACAGTTTGTTTAAAAATAAAAGCACCCATTTGCTGCTTGGATTCTTTTTATTACTAAGTTTATCATTGGTGCCCTTGATTTAGGGGTTGCATTGCCTACCCAAAGTTACCAACTGTTGGGCTCTTTTCCTTATAATGAACTCTGATTACCTCAAGGATGTGGGTTTGATATGTTGTATACATAGTTGAAATAAGGGAGCCTGGAAAACTCATAGTAACAAGATCTGACTCACTTCCTAGATCACTTGTGTGGTGTCACTTAACTTCTGGAACTGTTTTCTCATTTATGAAAAGATGTACTAGTCATGACAATACTTTCTAAACTGGATTAACTGATTAGTATGAATGATTATTTTAAAATATTGATAGTATTGAACCAGTTTTTGTTATCTCATGCAGGCATCGGATTCTAAGATTCCTAGACAGTATGCCACTTGTACTGAGGCAGTGGTCATTGGCATGTTTGTTAAATAAGTTAATTAATCAGGACCATACTCTGGTCATCAGAAAGCTTCCCCAATATCACGGAAATGAATGTAATATTTAAATATAAAATACATTGACACAGGTTTTCTTTGTTGTATAACTTAACCTCTGTGTCATTCAATGTAATTGGACTAGATTGTTTTGGTTATTTAAAACTGGGTTTTGATGCTGGGTTGGTAAACCCTTATTTTACCAGTAAGGTAGAAACTGGGCCAACTGATTATAGATATGGAAAACGGGCAAATTCAAGCCCTACTGTGGGTGTCAAACCTAAGAATTTTTTTTAACCCACTGATTGATTCAGTATATATTTAAGATCCTTTCAGTTCTTATCATTGAACTTGAATATATAGTTTTTTGCATATGAACATTAATAATTAGAAAGTTTCTACTCATCTGTTGTCATCCTATAATTTTTTTAAGCATTTGAAATATATTAATAGCCTTTTTATATTCTCTTCTGTTTAATTCTCCTAGCACTTAGTGTGTTAATTTTACTGATATGATAGGTAAAGAGAATACAACTTGCTTGAAAAATAAACACACACATACACACAAATACTTTTAACTTGGATAATTGTATTTATTAAATTAAAAATTGTCTTCTAAAATCAAGCTTTTCTCTGCTGGATAGAAATGAACTTTGGCTAACTAGCATTGGTTGAACTTCCAGCTATGGAATGACCCTAGTGTTTCGATAGAATATGGCTAAATTTGTGATCTTAGAAAGATACCAGATTAAGGAATCAGATTAATTGCTTCCCTTCAACTGTATGCATACTTGTCTCATCTGAATATTTAGTTTTTAAAAATAAACTCAACTTTTTGAAGAATCACTAAGTTGCTTTTTCCCTCTTCAAAATTTTAGGCCCATCCAAAATACTTGAGTTGTATTGCAATCAGCTGTTTTTTCCTAGCTGCCAAGACTGTTGAGGAAGATGAGGTAAATATTTTCCTTTAAAGATTAATTGTTTCTTTTTTAATATTTCTTTCCGTTTATTCACTTGCTTTTGTTTACTAAAACAGAAATTGAAAATAAAAGTTGTCTTTCTTCTCCTCCCTGTCCCGTTCTCTTTGCTTTGGATAGAGAATTCCAGTACTGAAGGTGTTGGCAAGAGACAGTTTCTGTGGATGTTCTTCTTCTGAAATTCTGAGGATGGAAAGAATTATTCTGGATAAATTGAATTGGGACCTTCACACAGCCACACCATTGGATTTTCTTCACATTGTAAATATACCTGAAGTTTTTTAGTTTCTTACTTTAATATATAGTCCTTTTTCGGTAACTTGAAAAGTAAATTGCCTGTTTGTTTTGTTCTGATTCTTAGGAAGAGAGAATTTACTGCAATTAGCTAAGGAAAAATTATAAATTAGGATGTATATCAAATCACTGAAGCTAAAATTTCAAACTTAAAATTGAAAATTGAGTAATACTCAAGGTTTCATCAATTTCTATACATAATTACCTAGATAGTTAAGTAAAACGAGAATGATTTTATGATATTTTTTTTCCAGTTCCATGCCATTGCAGTGTCAACGAGGCCTCAGTTACTTTTCAGTTTGCCCAAACTGAGCCCATCTCAACATTTGGCAATCCTAACCAAGCAACTACTCCACTGTATAGCCTGCAACCAACTTCTGCAATTCAAAGGGTCCATGCTTGCTCTGGCCATGGTTAGTTTGGAAATGGAGAAACTCATTCCTGATTGGCTTCCCCTTACAATTGAACTGCTTCAAAAAGCACAGGTACGTGTTAGTCTAATTAAATAGTGTTCATTTTAAGTATATCTCTTATTTGGGTAAATAGGGTTACCACATGGTTATAAAACTAAGAGACATTTTTATTCTTGTAATGGCAAACCATTTTTAAGAGTAGATAAGGATGAAGTAATTTACACTTTAAATTTATGGGCTAATCTTCCCCCCCCCCCCCCATAAAGCTTATATAGTATATTCTTGATTCTTTTTAACCCTTCTTCTAGGTTACTTAAAATCTTTAAGAATCTGGAAAAATTTAATATGATTTCCTAACTGCATTTGTAAGTTTTATTATTGTACTTCTATACTTCATTCATTTTATAAAAGATAGGTCAAAAATATAAATTGTAAGAAGTTGCTTTTTAGACAAGGACATAATTTAGTGTTGTCTAGCAAGTGAAGTGTTTGCATCAGAGTTTGGCAAGTAGAAGCTATCTTTCTGAAAGAGGTTTTGTCCTGGTAGTTCCTGTTAATTGTCTGAGATTACTCCGTAACTTGTATCTGCAAATTGGTGTAAAATGTTATGGGTCAATTAAATTTTTATCAACAATCTGTATGAAATGTAAGGGTTTAATGGAGAAATTCTCATTCCAATGGGAAGTTAGTAATGGTGCTATATATTAGCAATTACTTTGAGAGAATTCATATCACCAAGTAGAACTTACAAGTTTATATCTGAAAACCTTACTCCTCTGCCAACTGAATCCATAAAACACTTACGAATTTACGTTCCCTTTATATGTCCCTATTCTCATTTGGCAATATTTTGATTTGTTTTACTGGATTTTATTTAGAGAAGGCTTAAATTCTGAGCTTAAAAACATTTTTTAACATAGAAGAACTAATTTTAGCAAAGAGCTGCAGTTATTAATAAAATTTATAAAAGAATGCTATAAAATTGAAACGAGAATAATATTTGAATTTGATGTTTTATATAAGATAGTTATAATTGATGATCTTATAGATGTGAGCTGTAAAGATTAGCAGACATATAAGAAGTACCTTAGGGCTACCTCTCGGCTTTGTGAATTTCAGGCCCTAGTTTATGAGCAGAGAAAGGCTGAGAATCTTTTCATAAAGACAATGATCAGAGCAACGTATTAGCCAGAGCACCATCCCTCGTCTGTGTGTTTTGTTCCACTGTTTTTTTTTTTTTATCATGGTTTAGCTTGTTCTTCATTCCTGGGACATGTGATATTAATATTAGTAACACAGGCTGTTTCTTCTTTATAAGCGAGATATGTTCTTTTAATAGCATTTGTTAAATTGAAATAATTGAGAAGTGTTTATTTCCATTGAAATCATGTTGTAATGAAAGTAAATCCTAAGAGATAGTTTCTAACTATTCTCATGAAATAGCAACTGTCATAAACCACCATACCATATACATAAATAATGTGGCACAGAAAATTTATTTTGCCTACCTAGAGTGTTGGGAAAATGAAATTGAATATTAATCATTACATTATGTTAGACTATGCAAGTGGGGAAGGGACATTAATAGAAAACCAATATTATATTTTTAATTTTTTTATTGGAACAAATAACATATTTCTAAATGCCACCTGACTTGGTCTGTGTGCCTATTCCCAAGCTAGTACACAGAAAATTTGCTCTGAATTGTTGCTGTCACAGAGAAAGGACAGACTTTGAAGCATAAATAATAAGAATGTTGTAAGTAGCATGTGTATTCTGTAGCTTTGAGGGCTTGTTCCCTACTGAACAATCCTGGAGAATCTGCTTCTCTTTCATAAGTCTTCTGGTGCTAGAAGAAGAATGTTCACTGAAACGTGTTCCTCCTTTACTGAAGGAGTATTATAAACTTGGAATTGAAGGAATCTTCTTAGAAGTCATTTTGTTCAATTCCTTTATTTTATACCTGAAGTCCAGGGAACATGGTGCTTTCTCAGAGACATACAGGACTTACTTAGTAGTAGAATCAAAACAAAACAAAACAAAAAACCACAGTGCTTTTTCAATACCACACAAACCTTAGAGATTCTAGCCCACTGGTTTTTAGAGTTTCTTTTAGAATTGGAACCTTCCCTCACCCCCAACAAAATCTGTACACACACAATTCCAGAATACAAAATAGAAAAGTTATTACTTTGAAATACGTGTTTGGGTCAGAGACCTGTTTGGGTCCAGAGTCCTACGCAATATGGCCTTTTCCCTTCTATAAACTTTTTGGATATAGTTTGAAAACCATTGTTCCATTCTTTTATATAATATATAGTCCACAAATATTTATTGGGAACTCTCTGATCTAGGCACTGGGGATACAGTGATTCTAAAAAGAAAGTCTCTGCCCCATGTAGTATTCAAGTTACAGTGGGGGAGATAATTAACAATGAGTAAGATCAGAAAACTTGAGAGACTTTGGAACTTGATCTTAGCAGCTCTCTAAAACCATCTTGAACTGGTGGCCAACCCTTATGGCCCAAACCTGATGGCTCTTGATTCTTCAAGACTCAGTTCTGTCTTTGCTAAGTTCACCCTTGTTTAGGTAGAAACACAGTGTCTAAAAGTTTTGTGATTAGACCCGTGAAAAGCCATAGTAATATCAGATATTACTCCTGGATTTCTGATCCTAGTATAGGAAATTCTAGCATCAGATTTGTGGTATCATGCCAGAATCACTTCTGACATGTTTCCCATTGCTCTGGTATGAGAGGACTGCCAAGTCTTTCACAGATATCTCATGCCACAATCAATAGCTCTGCCTGTTTCCTCTGGACTTCAAAGTACAGCCGGTGTCCCCTCGTTTGAAAGGCAAGCTTTCTCCTAGTTCCCACATCCCTGTTAACAGTTCCCCCATCCCTGTTAACTCTTATGCTGCCTGTTGGTCACTATTCTGAGATGGCTAAACCCTTTTCTCTTTTTACCCTTTCTCTCCTTGTTCTAATTCTGTGGCTAAACTTAATGTCCTTTTTCTGACGGATGTGGCCCACCTTTAATATAGGCTGTTAAATACTACCCAAATCAGTGTGGTGGTCTCCCTACACTAGCCAGGCAGCGGTCAGAGTAGATGTTCCCTGCGTGGTGTAGTTAAAAATGAGAGTAGTGAGTTAAAGCAGCAGATCCTCCTTATCAGGGGTTCCCAGTTCTTCTTGAAGGTGCCTAATGTCAGACTATTGTAGTAAGATGTGCTTCATGCTGCCCTGCTGCCCAATGAACCGGGGTCCTTCTGAACCTATTGCTTATGTCATGCTGTTCTGTTCCCCCTTTCCAGCAGTAACCTATTTGGTTGTCTGCTCTGTAAACTTTCGATGTCTAATCTCTAATATCTCTTTAGTTCTATTATTTTCTGCTAGTCCTCACCTCTAAAATATAGCTACCTATTTACTTACTTTTTTCACAGAGAAAGATAATGACAGTCTTTCTTTTACTTAAAATACATCTTTTCAGAATTCTGCTGTGGTATTATGCCTAATGACCAAGGCAGTAGAATATTTATGGTACTTTTACTTTTCTAGGCCACTAAATATTATTCATTTGCTAAAGCACAGTTTATTAAATTAGGTACTTGAGAAATAATTTTTACACTATAGGCTTTTTTCACTTCCCAATTTCTGTCTCTTATTTCTATTACCTCTCTTTTGTAGGCTTCTTGAAGTATGGGCTAGGGTATCAATCACCTTAAAGGAACTCTGAAATCCCATCCCTCTCCTGTGTGCTTTGTTCCACTGTTTTCCTGGGTAGCAAGTAATGGATATATTTAGAGATTAAAAATCATTTGTGACCAAATGTGTTCTTGCAAAGTATATTCTTTTCCTTTATTCTATCTGTGGTATTGCAAATAGTCATGCTTGTGTGCTACAGGTTATATATATGAATGAGACTTGGTTAAGAAATCTCAAAAAATGCTTTTTAAATGCACAAGGGCTCCCTTGATAGTTAATCAAGATAGGTTTCCAGGAGGGTGATCATAATTAGCCAGACCTGGAAGGTAATAATAGGTAGGTAATATAATTTCAACAAGTAGAAACGGGATGCGCAACGGTAAAGTAAGAAAGGGTAAGATTTTTCCAGAAGAGAGAGTAGGCCTGTTTACCAGGAATATAGAGCACAGACTGGGATATGCTAGGAAATAAGGCTGGAAAAAAAGGTTGGGGTCAGCTGTGTTAATAGCAAGCTAAAGAGGTTAGGTTATTGCTGGTAGGAATTAGGGCGCCACTAAAGAAATAAGAATAGGGGAGAAAAATGTATGTTGTTAGAGGAAGATTATTTTGACTACAGTTTTAATTTTTATATCAGCAAAGATGATAGAGCAGTCTATGTTAATTATCGAACTTTTTTTTTTTTAATTAATCCCTGTCCCAGATGGATAGCTCCCAGTTGATCCACTGTCGGGAGCTTGTGGCACATCATCTTTCTACTCTGCAGTCTTCCCTGCCTCTGAATTCCGTTTATGTCTACCGTCCCCTCAAGCACACCCTGGTGACCTGTGACAAAGGAGTGTTCAGATTACATCCCTCCTCTGTCCCAGGCCCAGATTTCTCCAAGGACAACAGCAAACCAGAAGTGCCAGTCAGAGGTACAGCAGCCTTCTATCCTCATCTCTCAGCTGCCAGTGGGTACAAGCATACCTCTGCTAAACGCAAAGTAGAGGAAATGGAAGTGGATGACTTCTATGATGGAATCAAACGGCTCTATAATGAAGATAATGCTTCAGAAAACGTGGGTTCTGTGTGTGGCACTGATTTATCAAGGCAGGAGGGACATGCTTCCCCTTGTCCTCCTTTGCAGCCTGTGTCTGTCATGTAGCTTCAGCTGTTACCTTTAAGTGCAAACTGAAGTCTACTACTCTGGGAACAGAAACATGGAAAACCAGGGGAGGTATATACCTAATCAGGCTGATTTGAAGTGAGCCAGAAAAAAACAAAACCATCTATTAGTGTGGCTAATTATAGGTCAACATTATTTAAGCACTTAAAGACCAAAAAAAGTAAAAAACTCAAAAGATCCAATAATTTTTTAAGTAAAAAATTTGTCAGTTCTACCTTTATTCTGCTAAAATGTAATGTAGGTTGCCCCATGTCAAAAATTCACATTCAGTGTTGTTTTTTTCCCTAAGTTCCAAATTTCATAGCTAGCAAACTCTATCCCCCATGTCCTAATTTTCCTCTTGCTTTTGCTTGCTTTTTTATTGAATACTTAATGAATTTTATGCATGTTGATCTATAGCTTGACTTCCACTGATTAGGAAACCCTCAAATTATTTTTTAGCAATTTAGTGAACAAATTATTTCAGTTTGACAGCCATGTTTAATCCATGATTCAAATTCAAGTTAATCAGAAAGGATACTTCAAAATTGCCCCATATGAATCAGAGATTATATTATCACGTTGATTTTTGTGTTCATCTTGTTTCAATTTCTAGGATTTGGAAACAAAATTATTTTTATTTTTGATGATCTTAAACTGAAACTTAAGAGTGACATGTAATTACAACACTCAGATTTGTTGAAAGCATTTTTGACATTTGGATAAGAAGTTTGTGATAAATATGTTCAGGCACTTATCAAAGAAACATGTAACAACTAAAATTTAGATTTTTATTTTGGTAACTGATCAGTCCTTTTCACTCTATAAAATTGTAAGAGAGACTGTCTTGATGTTGGGGCAGTTCTGTGATTGGGTAACATGTAATAACTGAATTCAATACCCTACTTCTATGTTAAGCTATTAGGATTTTCTCGATAAAAGTTATTCTCTCTGCCTCCCAAGCCTCCCTATGTTTCTCTTAATGACTTCTGGAATCCGAGCTCCCTGTGCAGTCTGAAGAAGGTACTGCAGCCAGAACCAACCATGTACTGATGATGATAAAAGCCTCTGGTAGCAATAAACGTTGTCCTTAACCCCGTTGTATCTTTTTCCTGCTTGTGAAAGTGCGATTTCTGATTGCGTAGACGCTGCTGTTTAAACTGGAAAAAGACAAAAGCCCTGAGAATGTGCTTTACAGAAAATAAAACATGAAGGAAAGAGGATTTAAATGTGATGGATATAGGGTTTTGACAAATAGATTTTTTTTATGCTCTTTTCTCACTGGACCTTCCAAACAGTAAATTCTCATCTTAATGGAACTGTGTGTGAAGGCAGCTGCACAGACCCACATCTAGATAATGTGGCATTTTAACCTACTGATTTTGTTCCAGTTTAGCCAGAGGAAGATTACTCTCGGGTCAACATTTGACTTTCTTGAAATTCTTGTGGTAGGGGCTGGCTACCTACCTGCATATGACTTGACAACCCAATCAAAGTGAAAATTTGCACTTACATGTAAGTAAAGGGAGGAGGGAAGATAAAAGAAGGAACTGTTTGGGTGAAGATAGCAAGAGATTGACTTTGCACATGCTCATTAAAATATCCTACTTTTCCTAATTTCTGGTTCTGCTTCTTGATTCTCCTTAATTGTGGGAGCGTCAAGAAGTTTACAAGTACATATGTTCATTTCTGCAAAGTAAATGGCACTTAAATTCCCCCACCTCTACCTCTACTTAACAGATGAGTAACACTTTTATGTAAAAAACTAATGATAAAATTGAGTCCAGGGTCAGAACATTTCATTTGTAGTTTAGTAGCTACATTGAACAGAAGTTAAAATGACAAGGAAGAATTTAATTATTTGAGGTTTTCCAGTCTTATAAAAAATTTCTGGTAAATAAGTTTGGAACATAGTATTGTTTTCACGGGTAACTGAATTGGAATGGTTTGGCTGCTAGCTGTTATGCCTCAAAGCTTATTTAATCCACAATTTAGTTAAACAATAGTACTTTGGAGTCCAGACCTTCCTGAGCACTATCCCATAAACATAGGCTTTTGGAGAATTTTGGATCTGAGGGGTCTGAACTCATGGGCTGAGACAGAAAAAGCACAATATTCTTGAACAGTGTGGACCTTTTCATTAACATCCCTGCTGTTAAATTAGATCCTGTTTTACCTAAAACTGTTTTCATCAGCCTATTCCAGGTTACTAGACTGAATCTTGGCATCATATCATAAACTATTCTAAGATTTGGAAACTTGACCTTTAATGGATCATAATTGTCTGGTGCCTCCTGATGATTAGAAAACCTGTTATTCCATGAAGCCTGCACAAAGGCAAGGAAATAAACTTGATGGGCATAAATTATTCTCTAATCCTCCATTCAACAGAAAAAATGAAAGTGCATGCTCTCTTGAAGATCAGACTAGGAGAAGCTGAATGTGTACTTCATTCTCTGCAAAACTGATATGAAGTTGTTTATCTGTGGAGAGTTGAATGTTTTATCTACAGATGTCTTATGTTAGTGTGGCGGGGAAGAGGGAGTGCCCCCAAATGTCAGAAATAACTGATTTTTTAGAAATGAAACTATGTATCTGGCTCTGAAAGAAGCTGGAGTGTAAGCCCTTCACTCAGCCAGGCATGATGTGAGGATCTGAGCCTGCGTTCCCACTGCTGAGGGAATGAAGACACTGCCATCCGCCCCGCCCCAAGAAGTATCATTTCGTTTCCCCTTGTTCTTAGAACCAACATGGGTGGGTGTCCTCCATATTCCTTACATGCCTGGATTTTCAAGCTGTGTAATTTACTCAGTCTAGAGTTCCTGAATCAAGAAAGCTGTGCTTTAGCATCACTGCCCAGAGCAGCACGGTGGCCTTTCCCCAAAAATGTGACTAAGTCACTGATGCTGGACCAACATGGGGGAGCTCGTTAGCTTCATCCTTAAGGTAGTTTGTACATTTTCAACTGGGAAGGGAAGATACCATGCCAAACATTCTCACACCGTCTGGGAGACAGCATGCCTGGTGTACATTAGCAAGTTGAGGGTTAGAGAATTGTCCGATGCCATACAGCTAAGACTTTTTAACAAGGTTCAAATTCTAATTCATCTCGCCCCCAGAATTCTCAAAATTAGACTTGAAATTACTGTGTTAACAGAATGTCTCTTACTCGTTATTGTTTTGAGATTTGGCCACTAGATGGTGCTTCTAGGAAAATGAAACATCTTTCAAGTTTATGGGAGAAATGGGATTGTTTGGGCTTACTGAATGGGGATGAGTAGTTGAACACTCATCTCCTGTTGCTAGTATTCAACATCATCTGCAGTTACACATTCACGTCACTTAAGTAAGGCACAAGAAGCCCGTACATGTGGGACTGAGCGAAGAGCAAGATCTGTTCTGGTATGAGGCAGAGGGTGGCTAGATATGTCTCATACCAAAACAAACCAGCTTTACACGGTAACACCTTAATGCTTTCAGTCTGAGTTGGCTTTGGCCAATCATTCGGTCAGAGAAGAGGATGTGCAGACTTTTGCAAGCACAGCCTGCGTACATGGACAAAGTAAAAACTTTCTCACCATACTGAGTTTAGGTTTTTATGACATATGTGAGACCCATCTGTAGCATAGACAGCTTCCTTAGACATTTCTTATTATTGAAAAGCTGTAATAAGAGGTAACCAAGAATGACTTTGTCAGAGAAATTTGAGAAAAGCTCAAAGTTCCCAGGAACTTCTGAGTTAAGGATGAAATGAGAGGAACATCTCCCTTTCTCTTGACTCAAGCACAAACCTTCAGAGCAGATAAAATGCCAGAATTGTTGGCCTTGTGTTACACAACAGTGGGGCAGTAGAAAAGAATAGGCTTGTGAATTGGCTTCTCATTTCTCAGAAACGGCTTACTTAATGTGTTGGGTAAGAGGACACTGCAGAATGAAGGGCAGCCTTCAACAAGCAACCACCGAAAAGCAATTGGCGGGGCAGGGGCTCCTTTTACTTTTCAAACTAAAATCTATTTAGCAATTTAGCATAGAAAGGACTTACCTTTTTATTCCAGAGGTTTGCTTATGAAGTATACAGAGAGAAAAGTGAATTTCATAGTTATGTCTATCTCCAGACCGAATGTAGGCCGGGTGCAGTATATACAACAAAAAAGTATTTGGAAAGAGAGAAGGTGTGGGGAAGGTAGGTGGATGGAGGTGAATAAAGGGTAAAGAGCCCGGCTGGTGTGGCTCACTAGTTGAGCATCGACCCATGTACCAAGAGGTCACTGGTTCGATTCCTGGCCAGGGCACATGCCCAGGTTGCGAGCCAAATCCCCAGTGGGTGGCATGCAGAAGGTGGCCAGTCGATGTTCTCTCTCATCCATGTTTCTCTCTCCCTCTCCCTTCCTCTCTAAAATCAATAAAGGAAAAAAATAAAGCGCAAAGAGAGCTAGAACTACAATTCCAGAGGTCTAAAAGCATTGTGCAGAGACAGCGTGGCTGAGCCAAGCTCTTTATAGAACGTTATTCTGCACTCTTCCTCATACACACTTGTCTTGTGGGACAGGGACCTTGTTATATAATTGTCTCTGTCACCTCTGATCTATCAAGGGGCCATAATTTTGAAAGTTCCCATAGTGAACTGAAATGCCATTCAGCTCAGCACTGCGAGTATGTAACTGTTTTTGAGCCAGATGTAAAATCATTTGTAACCTGGATGTTCCACTGACATCCAAAAGATCTTATTTGTATACAGCTACTTGTCAGAATAGTAAATGTTGGAGAGGGAGGTGAGTGGATACCTAGACTCACAGTCAGTCTTCAAATTAACACATTCTGTCATTTCACCAGCCTTGAGGATGCCAGTTGCCTGCTGGAGATGTTCTGAAAGCCAGATGGTATCAATCACAAGGACTGAATACCATCGTCTTAAGAATTCAGGTATAAGAATATCCAAAGTGAGCCACATTGTCATCGCTGCTAGTCTCTAGGGGAAAGATGACAATTCATCTGCAAAGCAAAAGGTTTTGTGTAGAAACGTCATTTGAATACAATGAAAATTATGTACTTCGTTCTTCAGATACCGGAACTGTTTACCCATAAGCTAGGCCAAAGATAGGCTAAATAAATAAATAAATAAAATAACTAGTTTCATTTGATTGCTACAACTGATGGGAAAAATTTGGCCAAGTATATTAGGTAGATGGCCTAACTTTATGTGCTGCACCTCAGCACATTCTGACTCGGAATCAGATCTTTCTACTAGTGCTGTGGCAGTCTCAAGCAGATCACAGCTAGACTACACCTGTAGCAGTAAGGCACAGTCTGTATCTGAAATCAAGTAATATTTTTAAAGATTGAATGGCAAATAAAAAGCCTGTTGCCTTTTTACTTTTTGATATAGGTTTTGGGGATCAATTCTTCTTGCTCTACTTTTCCAGTCTACCATGGGATAAGTGAATTTTTTTTATTGATGATAATTAGCCCTGGAATGGTTCCACAGTCAGCCAGACCTTGAGAACCTACCAGTACTATCAGCACTTGAGAAAACAAACCCCTTGAAGTAAAAGGCCAAATAAATGGAGAGATGGCAGTGCATTTGACCAGTGGTGTGTGTCCATGATCAGCTTTCGCTAGGTAACTGAACAGAGGCCAGCCTACTTAGAATAGCTTTTCCCCCACTCCCTCCCATTGAGGTGATTACTGTTGTACTTCCTTTAACCTGAGTTCTAAAGGAAAAAAGGAATAGCAATGATAGACTACATATTTCTCTCTTTAAAATAATGCTGCCTGATTTGATTTTTAAATATTGTTCAGTAAATGTCTACAATTTGATGCAGAATTTATTTTTAAAATGAGTGCTAGGGTAAAGTTGATATTAAAATATTAAAAATAAGGAGTTTAAAAATTTCTGTACTTAGTGACTACAGTGGTTTCACACACAATAGTTTACTATATAATTGGTATGTTAATTTGTCATGTTGTGGCATCACATTAGTGGGTACCCACTCATCTACCCCCCCACCCCAACTACTGGTCAGTAGCAGATTGCTATCCTTACATATTATACTGGAGGGGATGTCTCTTGACTCCTAATTTGATTAATGGCTCAGGCAAATCTGATCATTGCAGTTAATCACAGTGTCCAAGAAAAGGTCACCAGGATTCATCCAATTGCTCTAAACTTCTGTCCAAGAATGAAATGATTCAAGAGGCAAGCACTGTTCCTTCATTTCACCTTCCAACAGAAGCCGATGTTACCATTCTTAAATAGAGGGGACACTCCAAAGGATCTTCATCACTTGCAACTCATGCCACCAATGTTTTTGTGATCTATGTTCTGTGGAGCTGAAAAATGATGGAAATAAGCAAACACTATAGACATATAATGAAATTAAAAGGTAACTTAAAATGTATGTTCATGCTTTAAAATAGAAATAAATTTGAAAACTGTCCCTTGACTATGAAAACTGCCCCCTAAGAGGTGACCGCTAATAAAGTAATCTAGCCTGTCACGAACCGGTTAGCATTAGAAATCACAGACTCAGTGACTGAGCACTGACCCATGCACCAAAAGGTCGCCAGTTCGATTCCTGGTGAGGGCACATGCCCAGGTTGTGGGCCCGACCCCCACTGGGGGGCATGCAGGAGGCGGCCAGTCAATGTTCTCTGTCATCGATGTTTCTATCTCTCCCTTTCCTTTCCTCTCACTCTAGAATCAATAAAGAAAAAAAAATCACAGACTCAACTGGTGGAAGTATGTGTTTCTATGTGGGTCTACTTTAAGTGATTCCCTGCAGATTTATTTATTTTGGCAGACACAGTGGAGAAAGCCACTTGGGTGATTCTGAGAAGACAGTGTAGATCAGAACCATTGCTAATGACGCTGTTGACTGGGACAGGATATGTGTGTTTGGGGTCATTTCCCATGGTCCAAAACACAACTCTGCACACAGGGTAAAGCACAGCTTCACAGAAATAAAAAGGCAGGGACGGACCAGAAAGTTATTTCAAGGTACCTTTAAATTTAAATTGAGTCCCAGAGGCAGAGAAGTCATCTACCCAGCACTGGCACATTTTAAATATGATTAAGATTTGCTGGTCAAAATCACAGTGACAGCAAATAATTTTGTGTGTGTGTGTGTGTGTCTGAGATGAGAACATTTTAAAGAGAATTCTGTGACTTCACTTAAATTGCCCCTTGAGCTTAAAACTAGCTTAATTTTGATATCAAAACGGAGTTGAATAACCAATAAATAAAGCAGAACTGGCTAACTGGCATTTTTTCCCAAAACAATCCCAAACAACTTATATAAGGGATGCAGTAACGGAAAAAAAGTCAAAACACCAGTGGTTCCTGAATTTAAAGGAAGGATGCCCACTTCTCTCTCTCAAGAGGCAGGTCGTCAGCTGAAAAATAAAAACACTGTATCAATAGAACACACCAAATAATAAAAGATGCAGCCATCTCTGTTCATGCAATACCAAATGTTTAAGAAAAACAAAACTCCAAAACCCATAAAACTAACAGGGAAGGAATATGTTGCCCAGATCTGATGGTTGAGGGTCCTGAGGGGGTTGTTCAGAATGTCATGCATGGGACAGAGAGGTCTGGAGTTAACATGAGATCAAGTCTGGGGACCCTGGAGGTGGCGGCCACCTCAGAGATCAGGTGCGTGCTGTCTTCAGTCCATGAGTTCTCGGATAGCAGCTTCAAGAACCTGACAGCTAAGCAACAGGATCCCGACACGGCTACCTTGGGTCTCTGCCCCAGTTCTCTGATGCACTCAATTTCCTCTTTAGTATAACTTTTTGGTAGTGATAAGTCACTTTAGTAACCACTTTGGGTAGTGGTTTGTAAACAGACATTGACAAATACAAACAGCAGTGAAATATTTGACCCAGACTTTGAAAGAAAAGGAGGCGATGGTGGAGATGAGGTAACTCTTCCCCACACGTGTGAACAGACAGCTCCTGCTCTTCTAATGCTGTCCATTAGGAGAGAGTAGGGCTTGGCAACAGGATGGTTACATAAAGAAGAAGCTACAGAAGAGAGAAAAGAAAGGTTCAGATTCAAATTTGATTCTTAAAGGCATAAAAAAAAAAAAAAAGAGCTTCTCTCTAATGAACTGCGGCAGCACAGCCGTGTGCCAGTGAACGGGATAACTTCCTCTGAGCGTGGGTTTGAGCAGCAGCAGTGTTGGCAGCGAAGGCCAGGAGAGGGCGCCTCAGCTGGGCCCAGGGCAGTGGAGCACCAGGGGACACTCATCAGGACAGAAGGGTATGGGAACGGGGGAGAAAGGTGGTAGAGACTGTGAAGTACAGGACACCACACGGTTATCTTGGAGAAATTGGTGCTGCCCAGATAGTAGCATCTGAAGTCCACCAGGCAAGGCAGGGAAGCATGAGGCTCTTCCCTATTTCTTTTGTCCAATAGAACCAGCATGGGCACATATGCGTATCAAACAGTGACTAAAAGAATTCACAAAAGGGCACGCAATGTTTGGGTAAAAATATATTTCCCCCCAGTTTATGTCTTGGCACTAGTGATATATGCATAGATTAACTGTCCACCACTCTCCTACCTTAACAGACACCACAATACTGAGCATGTTTGCTAAGTGATTTCTTTCATACTTGAAAAAATGATGCGCTTCACATCAATACAATTATTTTAGTTTTCAAAAAAAAAAAGACAGGTCTAACATGCAGCTTACATATATGACAATTTTGCTTTAACACTGGAAGTAGATTACACAACAGTTTTAGAAACACATTGGTTATTTTCAAACAGCAAAATGACAATGATCTACAACTACAGTTTAAGGCATATCAGCATAGTTTAAAATGAAGAAATAGACAAAGTTCTAATGCTGTTCACAGCTTAATTTTCAATTTATTAAAAAAACTCCCTTCATACCTACATACCATCTAGACTTTGTAGGTCGTAATTTCCACTAAAGAGTCATACATACGTATTGTGTCAATGGAACCAAACTTCTGGGAGCTGAGACTTGACCATTTCAAACACTTGTGAATGGAAAAGCAGAGGGGTCTGAATGGACAGTTTTGGTAGGACCACACAGAGACAGGATGACATGGGTTGGTAGCTGAAAAACCTGATTAAACTGTATGTGAAACACATAATGTCAAGAAAGTGAGGAAACCAAATCTGTTTGAGGTGCACAAGGTATGAAGAACAAGTTATTTTTATTGCTGGTGAGATTACAAAGCAGAGAAGGAAGATAAGTAACCTGTGCCCAGCTTTCCGTTAAATGTCTCCCTGTTTGAGATGCCCTTTCTGAACAAAACCATGACCAATTAATAAAGAACCTAAGCTAGCAAACATAGTCTCTGAACTTCCATTAAATTCTCATAAATGTTTTCCCATCATATCCTACTGCATATACATTTATTATGGGTATCTAAAGTCTAGAAGAGGCGAAAAGTTGGCCACATGGTTGAACAAAAGATGTGGGGAGAGGCCAGGTAAAGCCGTCTGACTTACAAAACAAGAGGTGATCTGTGCCAGCAGAGCCCACCGGCAAGGCCATTAAAGCAAGATCACGAGAAGTTGAGCAGTCACAGAGGCAGCCCAGCATAAAAAACTTTTCCTCCTGATTTTCTCCAGTGGAAGGTAGTAGTTTCTCATTGTAACTTTATTTACACAGAACCAAGGACCCTCTGTAACGTCCACTGACACCGACGATGCACAGAACACAGACAGGAACTAGTCATTTCTTACTTCCATATTGATGTCAAAGAAAAAGTGAATTTATGTTTCTTGTGAAAAAGATATAAAAGTGGCCATTTTAAATATATTTAGTTTGTATTTTTTAAACCAAAAGCTACTCAAACCATTACCTCCCTACCCCCCTCCAAAAAGAAAAAAAAAAAAAATTCATCTATCCCATATGTTTCTCTAATTTTAAAGTCAGAAAAATCTGAAAGGTTTCTTACTGCCGTACTTACATGCAAAGGCGAAAGCACATCCAACTAGATTGGAGGGTATCATTTACTCCGTGCAGAGCCAAGGACTACTGTGGAAAAAGGCACAGATACAGAAAGGAGAGGACAGCAATAACAAACCAAACAGGGCCAGGGAGCAGGGAGAGAAAAAAGTTCAGAAGCAATGCATTTTTTAAAAAGCTTCTACAGTCTACATATTTATTTTGACTTTTTATTCTCTGACTCTCCATGTGATTTATTTTACTGTGAAAAATCTAATGGAAAAAAAATCAATCATCTTGGAATCCAAGTCAGCTGGATGCCTTTCACGGCGAGGCTCACTTTAAAGAGGCTTTAGTGATGCATTGAAAGTGATGCATTTTTAGAATTTAGAAGTGTCTTTTCTTCTAAATTCTCATACAAGCAGTGGTTGGAACAAGCACACAACACAAGTATTCAGGCTTTTGTCTGGTGCCAGCGTATGAGCAAATGCAGCCCACGGTTAGGATCAACATGCCATCTACTGTTTGGCTGCTCCATAGGTAGCATCACACTAGAATCGTTAACAAAAAAAAACAAAAAACAAGCAAAAACAAAACCCTTGGCCCAGTGCCTCTCCAACCTGTCTCTAGCACTACTGCGGCTCCTGGTCTGCAGTCTCTGTCCCAGCCTCGAGTGGGCTTCCATGAAACGGATTTCCTACTTTGCCTAATTGAGCCAGATCCGTTCGTGGAAGACCATTCCTCTTTCCCCTAAGAGTATGGTGGAGGAATCAGGTTCATGAGAAATGTTATTCTTTCAACTAAGAAACAGGAGACATTAGAGTTAGAGGGAAAGTTGGGAGGATCTTGTTATCAGAGGGGAAATTAAGATGAAATAATAGCCTTATAAAGGAGCAGTATGGAAGAGAGATAATGTGTACTTTTCCATACAAATCTGAGGTACAGTCCCTGCCGTGGTGTGTGGGTGAGCCCCAGCCTTCGTTGATGGGGAAGGGGCCACGGACATAAAGAATGAGTTCTAGCTGTGAGGGGAAAGGTGAGGAAATTCCTTCAAGACTACCTACCGGATGGGAAAGACCAGCTGCTCTATTTTTCTTCCCTTTATTGCCAAGTGTCAAAAGGACACTAAGCAAGAAGGCTGGGTGTGAAGGTGATTTCTACTTGCCTTGACTCGTGGCTTGTGTGATATTCCTTCCCATTTCTACCCTCAGGTCTGGGCTGCAGAAGATACACGATTTACAACACATTTTTTCTATTTGAAGTATTTCTGAAAATTTTCTTCTCCTGATTATTGAAAAATGTTATTGGAGGTACCAGTATCCCGGCATCAGTTATTGGATCCTCCTCCTCAGCCCACTGAGAGCACGTGTCGGTGTGTTTATGAGACTGCTCCTTCTAAGTAGTAAGTTGGCTGTGGAAAGCCCATCATCCTTAGTAGACTCTCCAACTCAGAATGTTGCACTATCTAACTTTTGAGACTGCTGATTATGAAATTATGATTATGTTCACTTTTATCAGTGTGACCTTGATTCTCTCACAGATATCACAGTTTTCTTACAGTTCAACTTGGCCAGCATTTGAGAGAGAGGGGTTCAGACACATGTTTAAAGCCAGAAGCAGAGACAGTCTGAACAGACCCACAACCCAGACCAAATAATGTTATAATAATGAGCAATCCATGCAAGTTTTAAAGTCATATAAAGCTTACCCACTGGTCTGCCTACGTGCAAAGCTATCTTGGGTTTGGGGTAGGTGTGGAGAAGAGACAGAGAGTGAGTTCAGGGCTCTTGCATCATGGAGATGAATAATTAAGAAAAGTGAGTTGTCATGGATATTCAGGTTTATGGTTCAGCTGCTGAGGCGGTGAGTTTTCCTGTCAGACGAACATGGAGCAATTTACCCTCCTTCCCTCTGTCCAAAGCAACATACAAGTAGCAGGCATGCTTCCTGCTGCCACTCAGAACAGGCATGAAAGGCAAATCATTTTCTTTCCAGAGACAAAGTCCAGCTGCATATAGCTTTTGCTGTTATTCCCTTGTTCTATCACTTTCCAGCACCCAACAACATTCAGCAATATGAGTTAATAGTTATTGGTGTCTGGGGAAAGGTAAAAAAACAAAAAAATAAGAGGACACAGATGGCAGAGACACAATATTACTGCAAAAGCAGGTGAATGCGGGACCATCCTTGGCTTGCCAGGCTTTATGTGAAGCTTGCACTGCAAGTTAAAAAACAAAACAAAAAAGTTAGAAATAATAATAAATAAAAGGAAAAGAAAATTAGGAGCGCCAGCACCAGCATTCGGTGATGGTGAATGCTCATGCAATGATTATGGAACTGACAGAAATTGAAACCAAAAATTTGAGTAAGCTACTCTACATGACAAGCAAAAGCAACATTTTAATATTGAATTAAAGAACACACGGTTAGTTTCCATTTGCACATAACTGAGAATTCATAGGTGACTTCTTGAAACCACTAGGTGTTCTAGTGGAAGATTTACTGTTTGATTTTCATTTTGTCCAATAACAAAACCACATCTGTACTGAATAGGAGTTGCATCTTCTATTTCTGAGCTGCTGGAGTAAGAGAATAAATATGCTATAAATGACTGAACAATTAACTTGGGGGCTGGAATACAGTGGATGGAGGACATGCTATTAATCCAGTTGGGAAGGGAAAAAAGGGACAATCATTATGTGGTCACAGCTACAGCAATGCCGGGAGCCTTCCCCCGCTTAGGTTCAAGGCAGTGCTGAATCCCAGAGCCACATGTCTAACTGTAGGCAAGTCTAAAACATGCAACTTCATTCCTTAGCAAGGATCAATTTAAAAAATGAGAGGATGATTATGTGAACTATAGTTATAAGATGCCAGGTACAATTTTAAAATGATGGATTTTAAAACTTCCTTTTGGAATGGATGTGTCTGAACCAGCAGCTGTGCAAAGCTCTGAGAAGATGAACACTGTCCGCCGAACAACTTACCATCGGGCAGTCCCACCACGGCGGGGTGGCCGCAAACAAGCAAAGTGACTTGGTGGCCAGAGATGGCAGGAGGTGGGGTCCAGCTAATGGCAGTGCCAGGGTTAGTTCTACTTTTTCTGTAACCTTAGGAAATGTTATATGATCTCATGCCACTACAGGTCAAGGAGAAGTATAAAAGCCTTACCTATGTTAAAAAGGGAGCATGTCATTAAAATAGAAAACACAGAATTTAGAACTATTAGAAAAACTAAGTTAGGCTCTGAGCTGGAAATACAGCAGGTGAGTAAATAAGCATCTTTTTTTGTTTTCTCCCTAAACAAAGCCAGCTCCTAAGGGGCCTGCGTGGTGACTCCAGCATCTCCTCCGGCTACACGAGGGGGAGAGTCTTCCACTCATTTTCCGTGTTGCTCCGGTTGCCCTGGCTACTGGCTTTTTGTGGTCCTCTCCAGCCCTTACACGCAGTAAGAGGAGTGGTGCTTTTTTCTGTTTGCTTTTTACTTTTACACATCAGGGTTCCAACTGGCAGCTGGTTTCACTGTTCAGATGGTAAAGTGTGGAAAGGGGTCGGAACCTACAAGTTACCCCAACATATGTGCCATTGTCAGACATAAAACCTACTGACTACTATGCACCAAATTAAGTTTAATTCCATGAACAATAGATGAGAATATATAAATAAGGCTAAAATAGAACTCACACATACTTCACATAATGTGAAAAGTATTATACATCGCTAAGGTCCAAGGTTGGGAAGAAAAGAAGCTGAAATGTTCGACAGGGCAAGGCAAAACCTCCCTACACTGGGAAGTCTGTTACTAGATACATTTTTTTTTTAACGGAGGCACAATACTGGTCAGCTCTTGGAATTTTTATTGCTTAAAGGCACATCCAGTATACATGAAATACCCTTAGAACATTGCTGGTCTCTTATAAACATTTTTAGTTCTAAAATATATACCTTTGCATACATTAGTGCTTCAGGGTAAGAAAAACTCAACTTTGGGTTTCCTAAGCTGTGAGTCAGCAGATTTTTCAGTTTCATTCATGACCATAGATGGAGACACACACACACACACACACACACACACACACACCCCTATACCTATTTTTATCTTGGGTTAGTTTGGATCAACGAGGGCATGATGCCAAATGGCTTTCCATTTGTCTTCACTGCAAGAGTCACTGAACTCTGGCTCTGCGTGGGGAATATCACCATCAGTGACCGGTGCTCAGCCAATGTGTGTAGCTGGCAAAGTGCTTTCTTGATCTGGATTATAATCGAGACAGCTGTTGCTCTCAGAACTCATCTAGCACAAGTGGTCGTCCTTGGAGCCCTTTCATCACTTGAGTCTGTACCAACCCCATTAAAATCACACCTCACCTACACCAACTACTTTCTATTGCTTAGAAAATGTTCCTGCCCCTTTGCTCTCCTGACACATTTTCTGCTGTCTCTGAGTTTGCAAAGTGTGAATTAAAACTCTCCGTGCATCGCTGTAGCAGTGCATTTTGATCTCTAGCACAGGCAAAGGAACAAGATTCCTCGAGGGTGGGTCTGTTCAGCAAGATTCAGTGACCCGGCCCTACGGCAGGTCTCAGTCACTGTGCAGGCTGAATCCTGTCTCCTATATGTAAAAGTGTCTCGGCCTGCTTGAGTGTCATCATTTCTATCATTTACTTAGTTGTCAGCTTTCCCTACAGTGTTAGCATCTCAGGATAGAGAGCAAGACCCTAAGCACATGCCGAGCTGCCCTTCTGCTGCCCTACGGGCACTGCCTACAGCAAGGACGCACCCACGAGCGCCCCATCCAGCCCCCACAGCTACTCCTCCAGGTACCTCCCTGACCACTGTGCTTCCTGTCAAACCAATGGCGCAGGTCATAGAAAGGGGTTTGACATTCAGCTTCAAACGCCGGAGAAGGACAAGGCAGGCCCAAAGCACCCGCTGGATTCTGGCAGTTGCCATCGGAGCATCACAGGAAGTGACCGATACAAGAGCAGAATCTGACCCTTGGTTACATTAAGTCAGAGTCACATTTAAACATGTTTTTTTGTTTAACCCTCAGGTGTGTCTTGAGGGTTGCTGGGGGTGTCTCTGAACTGGATGGGATTATGACCCCATTTTCGCAATAAAACAATTCATCATCTTGTCGAATTTAGAGGAAAACTAGTGGCCACTAGCAGGTCCTCCGAATCTTTCATTTGGGGAACAGTGACTGGCTTGTCAAGCCTTACAATGCAGAATAGAAAAATAACTGTAACAATCATAATTTTAGGATGCTCTTTATCAAGAGTCACGAGGACTGTCTCCAAAGAGGAGTGAGGAGAAAGAAACAAACCGTCTTCCCGAAAGTCCTAGTGTTGGTGCAGAAGACGCTCCTGGAGACAGAGGGCACTCCAGTCCTGACTGTTTGATCATGTGGTCAAGTTTTATAAATTAATGTTTGTGTACCCTTTAGAAATACCTTAAAAACCTTTATCATCTTCCCTGCACTGTAGAGAAAATACTCGCTTTGATTTTTCTGGTGCCAGACTAGTCTCCAGTCTGGAAATGAGAAAAGTAGAGACATGCAAGAGGAATGAACTGTTAGAGGCCCCGACACGTGGGTGACACCTGCTTACTTTTTCTTATCCTTGTCTTTCTTGGTTTGCTGGGCCCCAGACTGCTGGGCCTGGGTCTGTAGTAACTGCGCTGCTGCTTTCTTCTTCTGGAAGTTGTTCACCTCCTCCTCCAGCTCCTTCTTCTTGTCTTCCACTTTCTTCTTCTCTTCTTGGTGTGTCCGCTTGAGGAGGTCAAACTTCTCGTGGAGCTGGAGAGAAGAGGAGGAGGACCAGCTTGGCGAAGGGAGTGAGGGGCTGGCTGGTGTAAGGTTATTTGGATCTGTTCAAAACCACACCTGCGCCATGTGCTCTAATTACAGAAGTGCAGCAGCTGGTGCTCTGGGAAAATCCAGGCGGGGACAGGAAAAGCACCCTGTGGAGCCCTATTCTCCTTTGACACTTGGACTCCATGGAGCTTATGGGAATCCCTGCACATTCTTTCTGATAATAAAATACATATTCATTGTAAAAGACATAAGGAAGAAAAGAAAGCCTGGCCGGTGTGACTCAGTGGTTGAGTGTTGACCCATGCACCAAGAGGTCGCAGGTTCGATTCCCAGTCAGGGCACATGCCCAGGTTGTGGGCCCGATCCCCAGTGGTGAGCATGCCGGAGGCGGCCAATCGATGCTCTCTCTCATTGATGTTTCTATCTCTCTCCCTCTCCCTTCCTCTCTCTCTAAAAACCAATAAAGAAAAAAAGAAAAGAAAAATTATCCATGTTCCTAATAAGACAGTCCCCCTAGTGGTAAGAGTAGTTCTTCATATAACGTATAACATACATTTACTTAAAGACATACACAGTGACTACAGATGACTATGTTGAGAAATTTCTGGCCCTTGACAAATTGAATTTTGAAAAGTATCACAATGCAGAGACAAAAACTGGAAGGAAGGGAGAAAATAAAATATTCTCACTAGGTAATTCTAGGTTTTTACCAGCGCTCACTAGGTACTAAAAGCCAACAGTAATTAAGGCTCAATTTTCCTTTCTCTGCAACAAAACTGTGTTGAGCTCTTAGCTATTTAAACCACCTCTAAGTTTCAGTCATCTTTCTGAAGATAAATTAAAAGGGGATGATGAGAAAATTATTTAGACAGTTTCATTTATACATATACCGTGCTCTAGGTCAAGCACTTAAGATACGATCTATCATCGGAGGGAAATATATTACATACACGCTCTCTCTCTCAGTGGGACGAGTGTTCTAGCAGAAATCCACGGGAACTACTAGGAGCAGTCAGCGTGGCCCGGGTATGGGGAAGGAGACCAGTCAGAGGGCTGTGGGAGCAGAGCGCATGCCCACAGGGGGATGCGTGAGCACAGGCGCCGAGCACAGACACCGTCACCTCTCCGTGCTGAAGGGCCATCCCCTGTTCTGCTCACTGAGTTGGCTGACAGACCAAGACAATAATAATAGTCCCAGAATCTCAATCTCATATTTCAAGACTTATATACTGAGAAAATACAGAGGTACAAAGAAAATGGGACCAGGTCTGGAGACCCAAGATAGAGTTTTAGCTTCAGTTTTGCTACTAATTAGGTATATGACTGCATCTATTGCTTAACCTTAATAACTCTCATTTTATCTTCTGTAAAATGGGGATGAGAATATCTGAACTACTTTTCTTGTTAGGTTAATATGCCATGCATGTGATGAAATATTCCCCTTAAAAAAGGACAGACAGATGGCTTACCTCTTTCTCTGCCTCTTTAAGTTCAGCTTCTTTTTCCTTCACTCTCATCACAAACATTTGTCTCATTTCTTCTTCTTTCTTCTGAAGTTCTCCCAGAAATTCATTCCTTTTTGCTTCATATGTCTCCTGAAGACTATTCAAAAGTCACAAACAAGGACAGTGTCATAAAACTGCATAAGAAATTTCGGTTCATAGAATTTCTACCCACCCTCTTCCAGAAAATAGGTAAGGCTGCCACCTACCATGGCAAAGACACACAAGGGCACTGCTTTCTCTTTAGTTGTGTGGTGATCAGAAAGTCAGGTGTACCAACAGAGATGAGTCAGAAAGCACAGGGCAGCACTGGGGCTGTCTCTTAGCAGCCGAGCTTTATCCCACACATATTCGTACAGGGAAAGCTGGGCTGGGCTGGGCAGTGCCTCCAGGATCAGCACGCCAGGCAGACACCACAGATAGATGAAGACTTCTAGAAGATGGAGGTGGCACAGTGTCGGGAGAGAAATGCAGGGGTGCTACAGACAGCCTGCCCCCGGCTTGGATTCCGGCCATGGCGACTTACTGACCGATCTTGGCCAGGACACAGCCCCTAAGCCTCAATGCTCCCTGTATAAGATGTGGATACAGTAGCACTTACCTTCCAGGGATATGATTATGGGAATAAATGGGGGCACAGTGAGTAAAGCCCTCGGTGCTTAACAAATATCACCCTCCCCTGACTCACCTCCCTCTAGTCCCGTTTAGAAAACAGACTCAGTGAATCATCTAAAGAGACGATAGCGTATCTAAAAATATTACACAAAATTGCTACATTTTTTTTTTTTTTTTTTTTTACCCTCACTCGAGGACATTTTTGCATTTATCTTCAAAAAGAGCAGGAGGGAGAGAGGAAGAGAGAGAGAAACATCAATGTGAGGGAGACACATCAACTGGTTACCACCCACACAATCCCAACTGGGGCTGGGGACAAACTGCAACTGAGGTACGTGGCCTTAGTGGGAACCGAACCCGGATCTCTCCGGTCCACGGGCTGACGCTCTAACTACTGAGCCAAACCAGCCAAGGCAAAATTGCTACTTTTAAAGTTGTATTACCAATTATAATAGAACAGAGAAGAGTTTTATTTTTGTTTTAAACTCCACCCTCCTCTTGACTGTCTACAGAACTTAGAGCCCAATATTTTCAATCAAATGCCGCAACTTAGCTTGATCTCTAAGTTAGAACAAATATATTTGTAGAAATATCACCTTTGATAACACAACTTAAGAAAATACCCACTCACACCCACACCCATACAAACAGAGAAGCATATGCCAATGTTTTACTATTGCTATTTCTCTTGCAGTTTCCTAGAACAAGGGTTGTCACAATAACACGAGCCTGCAGGATTACCCACCTTTACCCATGGGCCAAATTCTGACTCCAGATGCTGACTCCAAACTGGCTAGCACTGTGTCTGACCCCCGGAACCACTCAGAGCACCCCCAGCATGCATACTTACCCTTTAGAACTAAGCAATTAGAAAATGTCTTAATTAGGATGTTTCTACTTCTACAATCAACACTTTTATTGCTTGATTAAAACAGCTCTCCTGCCCTGGCCGGTTTGGCTCAGCGGTTGGAGCGTCGGCCTGCGGTACAGAGAGACCCGGGTTCGGTTCCCGCTAAGGGCATGTACCTCGGTTGCAGTTTGTCCCCGGCCCTGGTTGGTCGTGCGGGTGGCAGCCACTCGATGTGTCCCTTCACGTTGATGTTTCTCTCTCTCTCTCTTCCTCTCTCTCCCTCCCGCTCTATCTGAACAAAAAATGGAAAAATGTCCTCGGGTGAGGATAAAAAAAAACAAACAAAAAAAACAGCTCTCCTGCCCTCAAGACTATCAAAGAGTATCAATACTACCTGTTCATGAACAATCCTGTGTTTTGAGTTTCCAGAGGTATATTTAACTTTCACATTATCTTATGAGACTAAAACAAGTTTGGTCAACGTTAGTGTTCACTAATATTAATAGTGATATTTGGAATTGAAAATTTAAGACGTATAGCCACAGAGAGATAGAAAATGTGCTGATAATAGAATGACAAAGTAATCATGAATTTGACTTTGTTGGCTTCCAATAAACTCGTCATCACTATCATTTGGGTCAGAATTGCCGAGGGCAAAAGATGGCTTGTCCCTATGAAATTTTGGAGGAAACTTGGTGTTTGATGATTTTAGGATAGTAAATACATCTCCCTCTTCTTTCTCACAAGCAGTCGGACACCTTTTATAGAAACACTACCAAGAAGCGCCCCCCAAAACGTGTCCCAGAGATCACTAGTTCGAGAGCTCCTAAACGGGAAAATGCTGCATGTGCTCTCCCGTTGGGAGAGACTGTGCACAGCGGCTCCCAGCCTCCCAGCACATCAGGACCACTGGCCTTTTCTAAACAGTTTCCTGACTCCACCCCTGGGGATGGCGACTCGGATGCCAGGCGAAGGCAAAATAACCTAAAGTGTTTAAATGTTCCCCAAGTAATTTGATGTAACCAGTTTTCATCTACTGCTTATCTTAAAGGCTCTGAAAAGTCCTTCAGAAAATAATCTGTTTAGGTTGACCAATTATAATAGAACAGAGAAGGTTGACTGACTTGGAGCTCTCCAAAGTTGCTAACCATGGAAATTTTAAAAAGTCATCCACAGAGAGACTGTCCTCTGGGCAATGCTACCCAGAGTACTGAGCGCTCTCAAGATGACTCTTCTTCACCTAATCCCGGCCGCAACCCACCTCAAGCTCCAGTTTCTGGAGATGCATTTTCAAACTACAGGTCATGACCCAATCGAGGGTTATTAACCAATACGTTCGAAGAAAAAGTTTAAGAGAATAGGACAGAAAATACCAGAGTGCAGTACAAACAGTAAGAGCGAGCATTGCTCCATGAAATGCTGGGTCATAACGTAGAACATACTTCACAGTAAGCTTGCAGCCCAAAGGTGGAAAGCCCGTGCCCTAGAGAGCCCAAGGGGCAGCTGCTGCTGGCCAGTGGCCTCAGCCAAGCATCTGGTAGCAGGTTTGACATTCTGGGCGATAACAGGAAAATGGCTCAATTAATGCAACTTATTACATCACCACATCCTAGGATATGAACCAGCTGTTGAAGTCTGACATTGGAAATGATCAGCAACATAGAAGAAATAATAAACCCTTATTCCAAGAAGTTACAACTACAGTAACTGATTAAGAAATGACTCAGAACCACAGTATTCATAGAATGACATTGCCCAGGAACCTCTGCCCACTGAGATGTAAATAAGACATCAAAAACCCTCACCCATGCTTCCAGGGAAAAGCCCAGAAGGAACTGGTTCTATACTATCCACTCAGACCTCTCAAGCGATATCTTTTGTCATTTTTAGCTCCTCCAACTTAATTTTTAATTGCAGTTATTAACACCATTTCTAAGTAAGAAATGAACGATTTTTCATAAGGTTTTAGGCTGGTATGAAACTAAGGATTTTATCTGCTTGTTCTTCTCCTACTAGCCCTTGTAAGAGGCAGATTTTGTTCCTGGAAGTCCAGGGAAGGGAGGATGAATAGACATTTCAGTTCACCCTTCAGTCTAACAGTTTACACAGCATAACCCTCTCCCAACGTGTCAGCCCCCTGGAGCCCCCAGGGGACGGCATGCCAGGCTAACACAGCACCGGGTTCGTGGAGCAATGTGCACACGGGGATCCATCAATCCTACATCCACCCAGTAAGGTGGGTGTTATTATCACCTCCTACTTCACAGGTGGAGAAAGCTGTTGCGTAACCTGTTCAGTTCACACGGGAAGTGACAGGCCGGGATTCGCACCCAGGCCACCTGGCTCGGGGAGCTCTGCACTGCTCTGCTCTGCACTGCACTGCTCGGCTGGGGCGCCGAGGCCGGCACACTCTGTAAAAAATGTGTCTCTCGGGCCTGAACACTTTGCGATCTCTCGAGAGAGTGCTGGTAACTGAGCACTTCCTGTGACCTGTCAGGTAGAGTCAAGGAGAAGGTGGTATTCTGAGATGAGGAAGAAGCGGTTTGGACAGGGCTGTTGGGCCAAGAGCAATGTTGTCTCGGGAGAAAAGCGGACAAGACCAGGCCCCACTTGTGCACTATGTCCCTTCCTCCCCGCCAAACACCAGCCAGGAGGGGAAGTGGGGCCATGGGTCCAGGACAGCCATGAAGCTCTGCTGGGGGTTCTCCCTGGCCCATTACACCAAGTCCTTTGACTAAATCTGTCCCCTGATCTAGCCCCACTCCTTGTTTCACAGATGAGGAAACTGAGGCCCAGACAGGTTGCGGAGCTGAGTAGTAGCAGGGCCAAGACTTGAACCCCGACTGCCGACGCTCCGCCTTCAGCACTGCCCGGATCTGATGGAGAAGGGGCTGAAGGAGTTCGATTTCCCTGCAGGATTTTTGTCCCATCTCCATGCATGAAAGAAAAACCCTCCATGAAAAACAAACACAGCCTCTCCCACACAAAAACCATTTTCATCAGGTTTAAACCCAGAGCAGGCCTGGTTCTGTAGGAACTGTTTCTTGGTCAATGCACTTCAAGGTTCAGTTAGCTAAACCTGTTTACACAAGCAGGCATTCTCTACTTTGACTCAGAAAGTGACGTTTCATGCGGTTGAATGCAGTTTTACAAGCCCCCAGGGTGGCACTAAATGACGCAAACTTGGCAGGGGTTGACTTTTGGTTCGAAGTCATCTGTCAGGGTCTCCATGTGCTCTCACCGATGTCCTCGCGCCTGCCCCCGGCACTCCACAGCAGCACTACCAGACCAGCCCGAACTTCGCCAAACTACTTCTAAAGCAATTCCAAGGAAATAACCCCCCGCCATCCCAATGGCAGCTCAGATCAGGGGGTGGAGTCACACCGTCCACGGCGGCCTCAGGCACTGTGGCCAGCCAGTTCCCATGCATCCCAGTGCGAGCCACACAAGAGGAGGAAGACAGGCTTCCGAAGACCCATGGCCCCCAATTCTGTAGAGACACTGAGCCCAGACACACCTCACATCTGTATTAAGAAACTGCGAGGGTACAGTCTGGACAAGGGGATCCTCTCCTGTGAGCCTGGCTGACAGCACCACCTTCCCCTGAGATCTCACCAAGCCAGGTACCCTCCCGGCAGACCCCTCCCCACCTCTGGGCTGACAGCCTGGGCCTTTGCTAAGCTACTAATTCTACATTAATTTCAGTATTTTCCTCTTTACAGTTTGCTCCATCTATCAATTACATAGGAAGGTCTGTGAGCAATTTCTCTAAGTTACCCCCTTTCCTACTCATTCGTCGTTAGAATCGTATCGAACCACCCACAGCTAGTAAAAGCACTTCAAAAAGAGCGAGCCTTGGGGGTCAAACCTATTTGGCAAAAATGAATGAGGCAAACTGTAAGGAGCAGCCGCACCTTTGCAAATGCCTGGGCCAGGCTCTGTGCGTATATGATTAAGAGCACGGGTTCAAAACTCACCCCCACCCCGCCCGTCACTTCCTGCCTGTGGGACCCTGGGCAGCTTGTTTACACTTTCAGGGCCTTAGTTTCCTCATCTGTAAAATGAGGATGATAACAATGGTATCAACTACATCGATGGTTGAGATCATGGAAATAAAGTGGTTACTACAATGCCTGGCAGTATATGAGATTAATCTACCCCCTCCCCCCGCCCGGGTGCTTCCCTCCTGAGAGTTCAGCCCAACAAGCATTTCTGTGATGCACCAACACACCTCCTTCGCCACTGTCCTGGAAACACTTCAAGACGAGGTGGCCTCATACCTGAAGGGCTTGCTGTCGGGGTCCGTGTCCTTGAACCCCATCTCCTCGAGCTTACAGCGCCGATACAACTCATAGTGGCGGGTGTGAGTCTGTTCTCGCAAATCTTCCATGTTCACGCGGATCAGCATCTCCCGAAGTTTCACAAAGTCACAATGGTTTTCATTCTCAACTGCAAGAGATGGGGGAGAGGAAGCGGGGTGTGGGGGCTGCTATCAGGAAGAACAGCCCTGAAAATCTGAAGCGATGTTTCCAAGATGTTGTTACCATCGGTGCCGAAATCGCTGAGGTCTCAAAGCCACCTCAAGATCCTTTACCGGATTCGCCTCACTTTCCCAGTGAAGACGAGATTTCTGACACTGACCGGAACATGGACCACAGGAGGGACTCCCGAGTCCCTGCTCAGTGCAGGGCACTGTGGGAGGAGACAGACCAATGTTGTCTTTACGCCTCATAATAATTCTCCCAAGTCGGCACTGTGCCTCGCTCGGCAGACACAGAAGCGTGGCTTCGCTCACGCAGAGGGAGCAGAGTCTACATGCAACACCACCCGGCTTCGCGGACAGGCCTACTGCTGCCAGCCCTCTGTCGGGGGCTGTGCTGGGCTTGTCTTTAGACACCACCTCCTTTAGTTGATCAACAACATGATGAAGGACATTTTCTTGTTGTAGAGAAACTGGTAAGATTCATAACAATTGTAATTTTCCTAGGACCCCAGAGGTATTGTTTCTTCTCACAGCTTTATTGCTTTTGTTCAGAACAAAGGAAACAGAGGACTCACATTATCTCCAACCAGTCAAGGGACTTTCTGGAGCCGCCCTGCTTCAGAGCACACACCAAGGGCAGGTGGCAGAGTCCCTGCCTACGAAGTGGCGTGTGGGAGGCTTCTTCAGGTCAGAGACTGCGGTCATGTCTCCCAGGGTCAAATATAGGCCAGACATTCTCTGAATTCTCAGATATTTACTGAGATAACATTTAATGGGAGGACAACGTTCCCAGAGATAAACACATATAGAGAAACAAGTATTCTCTTGTTCGAAAGAGACTGCGGCTTCCTTAGACCTCGCTGATGGAACTGGTTCACACTCCCAGGGAAGAGCTCCTCCACCAGGGATTTACACCGATGTTCCCACCCGAGCCGTCCTCTTCAGGGCCCGCCTCACGGGCACCGCGGCTTCGCAGCCAAGTCTCTCCACCGTCACCCCTGTCCTCCCTGGTCACCGTTTCTTTCTCACCTCCACGACTGCACCACACGACTGCCAGGGTACAGCCCTGCTGCTCCCTTCCGCCTGCCCACAGTAAAGGACCCCCCCAAACACGGCGGGGGGGAGAACGTGGTCAGTCACCACAGGGACTAAACCCGAGAAGGCCCTTCCCTGGGACGCACGTACCCTGCACCACACCCCACGGGTACTGCCTGGCCTTGGCCATCTTGTTGCCGATCTTCACCTCTTCAGTGCTGCCGACCACTGCGAAGGGCAGGTGGACCTGCCAAGCGACACAAAGACAGAGTACAGTGAGTCCTCACTTACCGTCGTCAGCAGGTTCTCGGAAATGGCAACTTAAAAGGAAAAGACTGTAAAACCAAATTATTATACTATCGTCTAATGGATATCAACCAGAGTTAAGTTCCTATGGCATATTTCTGGTCACAAAAACATCACCGAACTTCTGAAGACCCAAAACACTTCTAAACATGGAAATACCTGTGAGCTGCACATACAGGTAAGAAAGATTAATAAAAACAAGTAAGATCATTCTTCTCTAACCCGCTGATTCCAGCTTATGGTCGAGGGTGGCCAGACACCCTCCCGGCAGCTCAGAGCACCAGGAGGGACCCCTCCCTGGACGGGACGCCTGTCCTTCCATCACAGGGCACTCTCTCACACACACCCAACCCAGACTGGGACAATTCAGACTCATGCAGGTTCACCCACCATGCACATCTTTGGGATGGGGGAGCAGGGGGAACCGGAGTCCCTGGAGAAAACCCACACAGGCATAGAGAGAATATGACAACTCCACACAGACAGTGACCTTGGCCGGGAATCAGTTTCCTTTTCACTCATTCAAGTTATAACAAAACGACATTGAACAGAAGGACAGTGTTCAAGGACCTGCTGTAGCTCTCCTCCCAGCTCTGGCAAAGGCTGGTTTTCCACCTGCCTCTATACTCTCCCGGCCTGCACAGGCCTCTCCTATGGCAAGAGAAACCGGGGAGGGCAGACGAGGGGGAGACGCTGCAGTCCGGGGGGGGGGGGGGGGCGTAAGTCTATCTTTTTTCTATTACCATATAAGAATAAGAACATTTGGCCCTGGCCAGTTTGACTCAGTGAGTGGTTAGAGCGTCGGCTCGCGGACCAGAGTCCCAGGTTAGGTTCCTGCTAAGGGCACGTACCTCAGTGGCAGTTTGTCCCCGGCCCCAGTAGGGGTCGTGTGGGTGGCAACCAGTTGATGTGCCTCTCTCACATCAATGTTTCTCTCTCTGTCTTCCTCCCTCTCTCCCTCCCTCTCTATCTGAAGATAAATGCAAAAAGGTCCTCGGGTGAGGATAAAAAAATAATAATAATAGAATAACATTTGAAATGGCTGCCCTGAGAATTACTATTTAGGGTTCCATGATCCTGTGTTCTTTCACTGCAGATAAGCTGAGAAAGGCAAGAATTTTTTAAAGCCAAATCCACAGGGAACTTGGCACAACCCTCCAACCAGGCTGCCCAAGTGGCATTTTGCATGCTGCTCAGGATATTTATATTTTCTAGTTTGTCTCACACTGCATAGGAAAGAAAGAAACTCCTAGTTTCTTCCTCCAACTCCTAGTCTGGACCTGAAACGGTTCTCTGAAGCTGAGGAGCACCAGGACCCGCCCTCCCAGCCAACATTTTGGTGACCAAGGAAAGCGCTTCCTCCACTCACACTGCATGACAAGGCAACTGCCCAGGGGCCTTCACACATCACATGGGATTTTATCACCAAGAACTGCTTGGCAGTGAAGACTGAAAAGAAAATTTCTCAACAAAGAGCAAGATTAATTTGGGAATGTCAAAGATCTTCAGGTCTATTGATCTGATAAAGAGAGAAAGAGAGCAAAAGGTTCATGGGTATTTTCTTTCCAAGACAGTTAACACAAACTTAGTTTCATGACCGTGCAAAATGATTTAAAATGGGAAGGGATATAGAGGAAATCAGATGGTATTGATTCCTGTTCCTCCCTGCATCCCACCCCGACACCTAAACTGCAGTTCCACGGCAGAACAAACGAGGGCATCGTGGCCTGAGTCCCAGACAATGTACACACGAGCACACTGCTCTGCCCGGCGGCGCTTAGCATAGAGGATGAGGGCGTCAGCTCCGGAGCAAAGCCCCCGGGTTCAAATCCTACCTCCGCTACCGACAGCTGTGCATGGCGACCACTTCCCCCGGTGTGAGGTAGGAATAACAGTGTCTCCCAGGGGTTATTGTAAAGATTAAATATAAAGCCTCAGACAGTACCTGGGACATAATTAATGCTCTAAAAATGTCAAAAATGCCAGGTGCTACTATTAACATGAAGTTCTTGATACCTAGAACCAGAGAATTTTAGAGGCAGAAGAGACCTTACATAGTATTCAGTTTGATTTGGCTTAGGAATCCCTCCAAGTTACCTTTTCTAAGCGAGATGAAGCAGAATTTGTTGTTCACCCCCCACCTGTGATGGGAACCCACTGTTCCGGCCAGGTGTTCGCTGTGGCGTGGTGGTGCCAAAACCCCTCACTGCTCTTTGGCCCGTTAGTTTGGTTCTGTCTGTTGAATACATCCAGTCACTCTCCCTTAGGGCAACCTTCCTTTCACACTCCCGTGCCCACTCCTGTGCCTGTCCCCCAGGAAGAGTCAGCTCTCCGTTTCTTCCAGAGCCTCTACTGTCCCAGCCATGGGACGGTGGCAGCAGAGAGGGTCACACAGCTCAGTGTGAGCAGAATAGGGCAGGAGGGACTGGACTATCTCTGCATCAATGAGATTCCTACTTTTTTTTTCTTTTTCTTTATTGATTTTAGAGAGAGAGGAAGGGAGAGGGAGAGAGAGAGAGAAACATCGCTGATCGAGAACATCGATTGGCCACCTCCTGCATGCCCCCCACTGGGATCGGGCCCACAACCTGGGCACGTGCCCTGACGGGGAATCGAACCAGCGACCTCTTAGTGCATGCGTTGCCGCTCAAACACTGAGCCACACCAGCCGGGTGAGATCCCTACATTTTAAATTCACACAATAACAGCCCCAGAGAGGAAGAAAGATACATTTGCTTCCAACGTCCTACTCATTCTGGGATTCATTTAAGAAAGAAATCGTCCCTAAATGAAAATAGCCACATTCAGAAAAGTCCACATGCCGACTGAAGTAAGAAGAGGCAGTTATATGGAATAACTCTGGTCTTCCAGAATATGACGACAAACAACATACAGCACCAGGGACCAGCTGGGCCGAGCTGAAATCAGCGCTGCTATTAACTAGATGGTGTGAACCAAGTCAGTTATTTCTCTAGATGAAATTCAGCATGACTCCCTTTATATAAAATGTCTAGAATGGGCAAATCTAGAGACAAGGAAGTGGATTAGTGGTTGCCTATGGCTGGAATGAGAATTAACAGCTAAAAGGTACATGGTTTCCTTTTAGGGTAAAGAAAATATCCTAAAATTATTTGTGACATTGGCTGTACAAGTCTGTGAATATATTAGAAAACTGAATTGTACAGTATAGGAATTATATCTCAATAAAGCTAATCATTTTTTTAAAATGTCATTAGTACATTTAACAATGAGGTGATTAGACACAATTTTTCATGGTCAGATCTCCTAAAGAAAGTAAAACATACTTCAACCTTCCAGAAATTAAAAACTGTAGACTGACTTCCACTGCCCCAGCACATGTCTGAATTGATTTTTAGCATGCATTCAGGTAAGGTCAAGGTACCTTTTAATTACATTTCACGGGAGGTAACCTCAATCTGAAGAATTCCAAAGACCATTACTGGGCATCACAATGTACAAAGAATGCTGCTTTTACAGAGGTTACCATTCCCAAAGGACAAAAGATACATACAGTCGTTGTGGCTCAGAGGTGAGCCAGGGCTCAGACACACAGAAAGGTGGGACGATGTGGCGATCAAATGGCCGGATGGGAGCTCACCAGGAGAGATAATATCATAGGCACACTTAGATTGCTGAAGCTTTAGTCATTAATCTCCTGACCAGTTTCTCCCTGTGATGTGGAAATTACACCCTCAACTACCAGTTTACCTAATGATTCAGGAAAGGGTGGAGAAATTTTTAAAAAGGGGGGAAAGGCAGGAATCAATCTCAGAAGCAAAAGTGAGGCAGGTTTCTGCCAACCCTGGCACAAACAAGCAGAGATCTACTTCCTTTACGCCAACATGTAAAATGATGCTGGGTTGGCACTTCCTTCCCACAAGATTTGCTATAGAAATCATAACTGTTAGAATCAGGAGGGAATTTGAGATCACCTCGTTTGACTCTCCCATTTGATAGATGGGAAAACTGAGCAGCACAGTGGCAGAGTTGAGCCACACGGACAACATCAGATTCCCAGTCCGGTGTTCTAGCCACTCTATAATGCTGACAGTAAAAACAGCCTTCAGAAAAACCACTGGTTGGTCCTTTCTCACTTGAGGACTTACACTCATTGTTGCATTAATCTCTGCCACTGTCTCTTCATCTGTAGGGAACTGATATATCTGGACTCCATTGCTGACCAGTTCGCTCATGATCTTACTCTTGAATTTGTGCAATTCATTCTTGGCAATGGTGTCAGCTTTTGCAATTATTGGAATGATGTTCACCTATAAAACAGACATATCCATTTTTGCACAGCTCCAATGTAAGAAAAATGATTAGACAAATGAATAAAACATAGCAAACAGATAAATAAAAACTGAAACTTCTCTTAAGAAATAGAGATGATATTGAAAATAGGACTTTCCACCCAGGTGCAAAATTAAGAAGACAGGGGATAATCTTTTAGTTCCATCTGCAGACACTTTTACTTCCTCCCATTGGCCCTGAAAGCACACTAGTCATTTCCTCTCCTGGGCTACCTCATTCTTCTTTACAGAGTAAAAGGAAGTGCTACTCTATGACAAATAGTGTTAAGAAAGAAGCCTATTCTTTGAATAACCAACTACTCCTTTTAGGCCTCTCCCAGCTCCTTAGGAACTTGGTTTTTGCCTGTTCCTAGCAGTGTAATGATCAAGTTTTTGCTAGCAGAACCCTAGCATATTTAGCTCCAGGCAGGATGACATTTTTCTGATAACCTGAAAATTGATAGGAGCAGAGCACCTTAAGTATTAACCAAAACAAACGGTTTCACCTACTTTTCAATTTTTCAAAACCACACCAACTAGTTCTTTTGAAAGTCAGCTTCTACTGCATTACTCCTTTCTGCCAGAAGGAGACTTAGTACCAGAGGCCGGCTCGCTTTCAGAGCATCCGTTACAAAGATCAGGGAGTGTCTTGGCTGGTTTGGCTCAGTGGTTGGAGCATCAGCCTGTGGTCCAGAGAGACTCGGGTTTGGTTCCCGCTAAGGGCACGTGCCTCGGTTGCTGTTTGTCCCCCAGCCCTGGTTGGGTCGTGTGGGAGGCAGTCACTCGATGTGTCCCTTTCATGTCGATGTTTCTCTCTCTCTCTCTCTTCCTCTCTCTCCCTCCCACTCTATCTGAACAAAAAGTGGAAAGGGTGTCCTTGGGTGAGGATAAAAAAACAACAAAAAACAAAGATCAGGGCGCGCGCAGAGTTTGACAATAGCAGAAAGCCCAGAACGTGAGCCCCAGAACCAAAGGTGGGACATTTGCCTCCCAGCTTCCTCCGGCAGTGTCCACAGTGTACACTCTTAAAAATTCACTTCTAAGATGAACTTTCTTCCACTCCCTGACAGGTACAGATGTCTCAGTAAGCTGCTACTGTCATCCAATACCTGGGACTGTGCTTCTCCACCCAGCTCAGGAGAAAAGGGACTGTCAGAAAGCAGTCCTAGCCAGAGAAGAGTCTTTAGGGAGGTTTTCCGGGTTGTATCTGAATTCCTTGGCTTCTCCTTTTATCGCAAGAACCAAATTAAAAATCCCTGACAAACCAGAATGAGATGACATGCTGATAGAAAATCCTATTCCTCAGCCAACTCATGCTTGGGCTTCCTCCACCAAGTGGCAGACTAAAAACACATCATTGATGGGGCGGGGGTGTTGGATCAGGACCTGAGGAACTTCCTGGTGGCTTGTACGGGCTAGCTTTTGTACACATTGACTATTCTGTTAATATCCATGCAGACAAACGGCAGAGGGTCATTGCTTCTTGACCAGTTTGATCAGAGTGGATTGGCAAGTTAGACTTCAGTTCTCTTTTTTCCTCATTCACAGGTAACTGCAAATCTTTCCTGACATTAGCGTATATCTGCCTTAACTCTTCCCTTTACTTATATAAACAAACCTTTGAAAATACTGCTATCAGATGCTCCCTAGCACTAACATACAACTACATCAGTTGTTTGAAAGCAGTTTTAACTTGCTTTGTGGTGGCTTTTTCTTTTTAAGCTATGTTTGTTTTCTTTTCCTTTTGAAATCAACTCTCCTAAACATAATCCTCTGTTGCATATTAGCCTTGCTTGGTCCATACATGGGGCCTCAGTGAGGAACGGCCTCTCTGTCCTTCCCCACCTGCTTTGAGGGACAACCACATGGGGAACAGGGAACAGGCCTCACTGCCCAGGACCCCACCACTGACAGCTAAGTGCAGCTGAACCTTCAAGACAAAGAAGGGCTTCTATCTATCCTCCCAGCAGTACCCTAGTGGCAAAAATCCCTTCAGGCTGTGAATATTTTTCTGTAAACCTGTGCTTCAAGCCACTGCAGGCCCTTCATGGGCCGGTTAGGACAGAGGCCTTGGGGACAGGCTGATCTCAGTGTTCTCTCACTACTATTTCTCTCCGAAGGGAAAGCACTGAAGGAAAAGCATCGTTTAAACAGCTGTTTGCACACACACACAAACACAAAGCCCTCTAAGGATGATAAGACTTTTTATTGAACACAAAAGGAGGTTAGAATCTAGGAGACAATAGCATAGCTTCGTTTTGTGGTTGTTCTCATTTGCTGATTTAAGAAATGTAAATTCTTCCATTTATCTCAAAATGAAAAATCAAATTAATTGAAAAGGAGATCAGTCCCTTCCTTCAAATGCGAAGGAAAGAGGTTATAGATGTGGTCAAACTGAAAAAGACGACTTCTTTCAAACTCATGGGTGTGGTTCAGTTTCAAAATCTAAGAGGCTGAACTGTTATCACATAGATAAAAAAAATTTAACTTCTATATTACATTTTAAACTTCATATTAAAGCCAAACCTTTTAAGAGATTTAGCAAAAGTTTTTTTAAGGAAATAAACAAATCATAAGTTTGTTTCAATCTCCCTAAAGTTAACCCCTCCTCTGACCATTTCTGTATCTCCACTAAATAATTCCCTGATCTTCACCAGGGCATACACTGATGCTAATTTAAGAACTAAAAATACTTTGCAGCAAAGCTACATGGCTTTGTTTGTTTGTTTTGTCTTTCTCCTAACATCCAGCAAGGTTTTGAAGCATTTTTCTTACATTGCTCAATCCTATGGTTCTGTAAACCAGAAAACACAAATTATGGGGTTGGGGGAGGGATAGATGGATGAATAGGCAGAACATAGGGGATTTTAGGGCAGTGAAACTAATGGATACATGTCACTACACATTTGGTCAAACCCGCAGCACATACACCAACAGTGAATCTTAATGTAAACTATAGACTTGGGGGGGATTGTGATGTATCATTGCAGCTTATCTACTGCACCAAATGTACCACTCTGGTGGGGGATGCTGACAATGGAGGGGAGTGTGTATGCGGAGGGGCAAGGGGTAAATGGGAAATCTGTGTACCTCCCTCTTAATTTTACTGTGAACCTAGAACTGTTGTAAAAAAATATATCTTTACAACAAAACAACAAAAACCAAACTGTACTGAAAGCAGAGCATAAACTGGGGCCTTGGAATAAAGGTGACCTGACTGGCGCGTGGAGGGTAACAGACTGGCAGTGAGTACCTTACTGTCCAGCTTTTTCATGGTGACCAGGTCCAGGGACTTCAGTGAATGCCCAGTAGGGGCAATGAAGTAGAGGCAAGCGTGGATCCTGGTGTCGTGGTAGTTGAAGAGAGAACGTTTGATCTTCAGTTCCTCTTGCAAGTAGGCCTCAAACTGGGCATCGATGTACTCCACTATTGGCTTGTAGCTGGAATGCAGGAGAACGTTTCTGAAACATGTGCACTCAGCATGTTCCTAGGCACAAGCCCCTCTCGAGTTCAGCGGGGTACAGTGCTCCGGGAGTGTCTTCGGCGGCGCCCCCTCCCTGAGAGCTAACGCCCCAGTTCCTCACAGCCCAGGCCTTCCATCCCCTGGTCCCTGAACATCCCTCCAGGCTGCTCTGGCCTGCGCCTCCCCAGCGCAGCGTTTCTGTCCCAGCCACGCCCAGCAAGCTCTGCCTCCGTGCCTGGGCTCAGGCTGCACTGGCCCGTCTGCTGGGGACAGCCTTCTTCCTGTTGTTTTCCTGGCTAACACCTACCCTCTAAAACAGAGATCATAAACATGTGAAGCATGCAGGTATCTTCCCCATGCGATCCGTGAAGCTACTGCTAAGAGGTTGTGGTATTCTTTCCTCTTGGGGCAAAAATAAGTCTCCAAATCTGTCCCAATAAAATGACTTTGACAATCTGCATCAACTGACTGGCATCAGTGCACAGAATGAAACTGGTTTGTGATTTCAGGACAGAGCACCACCTCCCACTGGGAGCTCTTCCCGGGGCCTTGGCCACTCCCCCAGAGACGAGGGCTCTGTGCTCCCACACAGTCCTGTGCACATACCATAGTGTCAGCGACAAACCAGTATGATCTTCTACATTCTTTCCGACTCTAAATTTTTTGATTTGAAGATAAATTTTATAACCCTCTGTTCTCACTAAATCATAATTCAAAAAATATTTTAGATGATTATGTATGATTCTATTAACTGATCATAAACACAATCATTACAAGCCCATTGGGAATACATCTTCAATAAACCATATGTTCTCCGGAGATTAAGCGGTACATTAGGTCACTGTGGGTAATCCATGAACTCTCTCAGATCTCCAGGGTACAGCCTGCTCAGGAGAAGTTAATCAGCAGCGATGAGATCAGTCTATTAGGAATACAATAGGTTAATTCTCCCCAAACTTACTACAATGCTGAGGAATGATTTAAGCTTAAAGAAATATAAAAACTTTCCAACTCTGAATCCCAGGACTATAAATTAACTGAAATCCGTTAAAGGGATTATAAATCTTTTATAATGAAGATGACAGCAGACACCTTAAGAGAAAAACAAACAAACAAAATAAAAACAAAACAAAAACGAAAACAAATTTATGACTTGAACCAAAGCTATCAGATACAAGCTTTTATTTTTATTTTTATTTTTTTATTCACACCCGAGGACATTTTTCCATTTTTTGTTCAGATAGAGTGGGAGGGAGAGAGAGGAAGAGAGGGAAGGAGAGAGAGAAACATCGACGTGAAAGGGACACATCGAGTGGCTGCCACCCACACGACCAACCAGGGCCGGGGACAAACTGCAACCGAGGTACGTGCCCTTAGTGGGAACCGAAACCGGGTCTCTCTGGACCACAGGCCGACACTCTAACCGCTGAGCCAAACTGGCCAGGGCATAAAAGCTTTTTGATGACATTTTTCTTTGGGAACTTATCACAAACCCTTGGTTCATTTTAAGCAGACAAATCTCAAGAGGTTTTTTTTTTTTAAAAAAAAAAAAGTAGAATGTGCCTCAGAAATAAGAATAAAGTTCTAAATCATGATAAGCAAAATTCCAGTGAAAAGAATGCACAAGCGATAAGAGTCTTCTATGTTTTTCCATTTTAAAATATAGGCAGGTAGCCCTGGCCAGTGTGGGCAGTGGTTAGAGCATCAGTCCAGGGTCACAGGTTTGATCCCTGCCCCAGTTGGGGTCATGCGGGAGGCAACCAATAGATGTTTCTCTCTCACACCAATGTTTCCCTCTCCCCTTCCACTCTCTAAAAATCAATGGAAAAAATACCTACAGATGAAGATTAACAACAACTTTATATATACACACACACACACATATATAATATAACAAGTAATTAATCATCATTATTATAGGGTAGTTATATAGGATGGTGGTTAAAAACAGACTCAAGCCACATCACCTAAGACCAAAATCTAGCTGTACAAATTAGTAGCTGTGTGACTGGCCAAGTTATTAAATCTGTCTGTGTCTCAGTTTCCTCACAGATAAATTAAGGACAAAAATAATATCTATATCAGAGAGCTACTGTGACAAGTAAGTGAGCTAATATATGTGAAGGACTAGCATATAAAAGTAAGATAGAACTATTTAACAGTAATAGAAACAAACAAACAAACAAACAATAAATAAGAGAAAAACAAGCCTGACTTTTTAAGGGGTGAAGGGGTGGAGAACTTTTCCCTAACCCGGTTCCATGGCAACTGCTCTGCTACTGAGCTCATGCCCAGTCCGGAAGTGGAACCGGCCCCGCCAATGAGGGCCACCGTGCCCTGGCGGTTCACGGTCTGGTCTTTCAGTCTCCTGCCACTTGACACATGTGTCTGGGGAATCGGGTGCTCCCCCGACATCTTCTCAGCCTCAGGAGAGGAAAAGCAGCTCACAGCAGTGGCTCCTTTCTGTCTCCCCAGTTCCTCATTTGCTTCTCAGCACCTCCTCCCCAACAGTTGTCCAAGTGTGTTCTGCTTTCTATTAATTTCCCTTTTAGCCTCTGGTTTTGATTCTGATCCTCCAAGATTACAGAAGGCAGAACATCTCCTTTTCAAGTGAGGAATGCCTTCTGTCTGACCTGGATACAATATAACCAAAGAAATCTATCGTTCTCTTACATCTCAGGCCTCCTCTGACTTCCTGGTATAGGAGTACTGGCCAAACTTTCCATCTCCTTCTATCCTCTTTACTGGTCTCCCTGGGAAAGCAGTTATTCCTGTGTTGCCCTTGCTATCGACCTGATGATGATGATTCAAAAATCTCTGCTCCCAGCCCTGATCCTTCCCCTGAGCTTCAGACAATCCATCCAACTGCTTGCCAGATATTTCCATTTGTTCTTCTAACCAAATGATTTCAAAATCTAACTCTTCATCTTGCCCCCAAATCCACACTTCCCCATATTGCTCAGCACAGTGAATGGCACCTCCATCCACACTGCTGGTCAAGTCAGAAACCTGGTATTCCACCAGAGATCCCCCTCCCACCTCCCACGGAAAACCCCATCCAGTTTGTGCATCATCATAAATTAATAAAAAAAGGGATTCCAGGAGAACTCTACCAAAATCACTACTCCTTATGTCGAAGACTTAATTATGTTGATGAAACCGTTTCCTCCGGAAGCATAGCGGGCCGGCCAACTGGCTGCATACTGCTGTTCACAATCCTCCCGCAGGCCCCTCTCTCCCAGCCCTTCCCTCTTCCATCAGCATTCAGTCACAACGATGAGGACGCTCAGTCCCTATTCTGTCTTTTGTGGGTTTCCATTCTTATAGAAGGGACACCTATTTATATTCTGTTTGGCCAATTCTAACCTCTGCATTGTAGCCATATAGATCAGAGGAACCGGGGAGAAGGGAGGGCAAATCCCATCCAGCCCTTCCGTTTTCACATAATTTCCTTTTATGGCATGGGATGTTCCCTTCTACCCACCACTCATTTTTTCATACACCTCCAGTCATTCAAAACACAATAAAATGACACATTTGACTGAAACTGATGGAAAAAATATTTATACAATGTTTTCTATCTACCCAAGTGACACACTGATCATTCTTGCAAAACAGTCAATGCCATCATTCAGGGACTGACTCTCCATTTTACATATGACCAGACACCTACTGTACATTTCCCTCTATCTTGCCTTTGTCAGCCAATGTCAATGTTCCTTATCCCTCAACTACTTCCACCAGAAAGTGTGTGTGTGGGGGGGGGGATTAGAATTCAAAGACCACACAGGCTACTTCAATTCCATTTTTATAACTGTGATGAACATGTGGTGGTGTGAGGATTCTAAGTGAATTTCAATCATCCATGATTTGCAGAGCTGATTATCATTATAGTTGATGATGAGTCATTGACAGTCCATCTCCCATCTCCCAAATGGAGGGCTCATTGTTCATTTTCCAGCTCTATAGCAAAACTTGGTTTCCCTTCTCCAGACCCCTTTCCTTCTTCACTGAAGAGTGCAGATGACAAAACAAGGAAGCCCTTAAACCACAAAGAGTTAATCATGCTATTAAACATAACAGGAAACCTTACCAGATCTGTCTTCCTGCCTCCTTCTAGCTAGCCTGGTCTCAGACAGATAATGATGCAAAAATGCTGACATGTCCGCAGCCTATATAAACAAACTGGGACATTCTTGAAGTCTTGCATCAATGGCAGAAAAGCTTGCCTAATCCCCAAACTAGTAAAATAATCATGGGTTTAGAGAAACAGCACCTCCCTTACCATATGGTTACATACCAATGCAAAAATGCACATCCCACTTCCAATTTTTTGATGGATGCAGGGCCTATCTGAATAACCATTTTAAACAACAGTCATTTGGGTTTATAGTCAAGAGTGTCAACAAAGCCTTCTGGGGCACAGAGTTCTAAATGCCATTTAAAGAGGTTATGCAACAGCTGTCAAGAAATTTCAGAAGAAAAAAATATTTGGTATCTAGGTTAGGTTAATATCACACTTCCTCTCTTCTAAATCTCCTTGGAAACTATTATTTGACCCAAATGAGTCAGATCTTTTCTTAAAGAGGCCTCCAGCTGCAATTATGAGGATCAGCATTGTACTGGCCACTTGCTGGTCAGTGCTGGTGAGTGCAAGCCCAGCTGCCTGAGGGAAAGTCCCTGTTTAGGGGGAGGCAACAATTCAGTGGCAGCATGGAGGCCGAGGCTCTGAGCTGGAATAGCATGTGGAGACTCAGCAGCAAGATGCTGGAAGGTGGTTCTCTTTCCTAGAGAAAGGGGTCCTGAAAAGGTCCAACTGCTACCCTCCAAACAGAATGCACACACATGACGTTCTCTGACCCCAGGGAGAAACCGCGTGGGTCGGAGATGGAGACACACCTGGCTCCGAGTGTGTACTGTGATTGCACAGTGACAAGAGCCCCAGCTCTCTCCCAGGCTCCCACAATGCACCTGTGCTCTTTATCTTGTCGCCAGGGTTTTCTCTGCATCCATTCCACCTGGCATTACAAACAGCCTCCAGGCAGTAACCTCTCCAGCATTCCTTGGCATGAGGTCATAAATTAAGAGCAACTGTTCAGCTGCAGGGTCCGAGCTCAGCTGTCTCCCACCCCAAACCGACATACAGATAGTCCATTTTGACCAGATGCAAAAGATAATCTCTCACTATATCTAACAATGTCTCCTGTTATTACAGGACAATGTTTATTAAAGAGCATTTAAATTGCTCTATAGGTCAAATAGAGCTCAGTGCTCAGCTGCATAATGAATTAAGTATTTCTCTGTCATTAGCACAGTGCTCACATATATCTAGGCAACACACATTTCTAGATAAAAACAGTTCAAGTTCCTTTACGTGTATATAATATACACAGTTTTGAATCAAATAAAAATACAAATAAACAGAAAAAACCCAGGTGCTAATACAGTTTCTGAGCCCTAAGCAAATATACCATAATCTTTATGGTATTTTATTCCCATAATGCTGTCACTGCTCAAAAATGTCTCTGGCCCTGGCTGGTTTTGCTCAGTGGTTAGCGCATCGGCCTGCGGTCCAGAGAGACCCGGGTTCGGTTCCCGCCAAGGGCATGTACCTCGGTTGCAGTTTGTTCCCAGCCCTGGTTGGGTTGTGCGGGTGGCAGCCACTCGATGTGTCCCTTTCACGTCGATGTTTCTCTCTCTCTCTCTCTTCCTCTCTCTCCCTCCCACTCTATCTGAACCAAAAAAAAAAAAAAAGGAAAAATGTCCTCAGGTGAGGATTTAAAAAAAAAAATGTCTCTTGAAGTCCCCCTTCTGGAATCATCTTTGGGGCTGGGGCAATTTTATTTTAACTTTCTCAACTTCTTTTATGATAAAATGTAATATTTTCTCCACAGATCTTTCACAGAAGTGTTTTCTTCACTTTGGGTTTTAGGAGCAACCCAAGGCAGAAGCCACACAGGAAAAAGCGATGGGGGAGGCATTGGGTTGTCTGGGACGGATCAGGAGGAGGTTCTAGAGCTCTGGCCCCAGGGTCTGAGGTGGTTGGTGGCGGGGGTTCTGCTAACTGTCCTGTGGGGTGTTTGCATGTTTCTGTTTCTCTAGATTGATTTTCCTGATGGAAAATTCCCCAAATCTGGTTCCATGGCCCTCCTGGAAAAGTGTCATAATTTAGCTTACTCCTTCTAACAAATCCCTTTTCTGCTTATACTAGCTGGAATCAATTGCCCTAGCTGATTCTGACCTCAAGAAAATTTTATTCTAAGAAAATTTCTCAGGACAAGAATTTCTTATCTTTCTGGTGATAGAGTTGGACCCACCCTCATAATCGATGAACATGTAGTCTTTGAATTTACCAGAGATGGGTCCTGTTATTGCTTCATCCATTTATATCCCCACAAAATTCCAAGGTATACCTGTCATCTTTATTTATCTGGTCTCCAAATCCCACGGTGTCCACGATGGTTAATTTCAGCCGGACATTGCTTTCCTGAAGCTCGTAACTTCTGGCTTTTAACCGGACACCTGGTTCATTGTGAGTAGCTGGGTCACTTTCAAATTTGGTGTTGAATAAAGTGTCCATTAGCGTGGACTTGCCGATGCCCGTCTCACCTACAGGATCGCAAGAGAGGAATCAGTGTGTCAGTGCCTCTCAGGTACCAGTTCACTTCAGCAGGAGTTTTTCATAACCATGTTTATAAAACTTCTGACAAAGTCAATATGACCAGAAATCGCTCCACGAAAAGACAGTCAGTTCTTTCTACTTGTGATCTATCGAATAACTCCCTGGAAATATCTTAATACATTTCAGAAACTATTTAGCAGAAAAGATCTTGAACTTACAGATTAAGATACTTTTCTTTAGCTCCAGACAGAGAAACAGAACCTGTAAGCTTGCCTGTGGCCAGTTTGTACATTACAAAGACATAAAGTATATCTCTTCCCCTCCCAGTTGTTAGTGTATAAAACTGTTACTTAAAAATATATATTGCTAAGTTTTTAGTAGTAGGAAAAAAAAAGACATATTCCATTTATACTAAATTATCAGATACCATATACTATTGTCCAAAAGAATTACATTTTTCAAAACAACACTCTTGATAATAACAGCAATAATCACAAACCCAGCTAAGTCACTGTGCTGACTTTGTGCCAGGCCCTGTGGCAAGAGCTTCCATTGCATGATCTCAGTGAAAGCCCATTACAACCCTCCATGAACCAACAGGTGCTCCTGCTCCCTCCGTCTTACAGCCGGGCATGAAGGCTCAGGGAAGGGTTAGGTCACTTGCCTGAAGTCACACTGCTAAGTGGCAGAGCCAGGGTTCTAGCCCAAGTCTGTGTGACTCTAATACCTATGGTGAACCAGCAAAGCACCCTGACTTTACTATTACAGAAAAAAACTGACTGCCTAATATTTTCCAGTTATAAGTTTGTGTGAATCCTCTATATTATATTTTCTTTCCTATTCAGCTGGAATCAAGATGGCAAACATTTATGAGATAGTTCTCCCAGGTGTGACAATGAAAACTTAATCATGTTCCATGACCTGCAACATTGGCCTTATTAAGTCACATTGATAATTCAAGTAATTCAGTATTTACCGAGAGCAGAGTGACAGGTACTAATCAAATGGTGAGGCCCAAATGTGGAGCCAATAAAGAACGTGAGCCTGACCTTCATAATACAACCGAGCAAAATTCTACTTCACTCCAATTCCTGTTGAGTGGAAAATAGGTGGCAGTGAGAAAGAACCCGCCCCCCTGTCGCCGGGTAGTGCTCGTGACTGAATACATGATGGTGGAAAAAGGGAAGAAGAAATCAGAGAACATTATCCAGAGGAAAGCCTTTTTATTTTTAATCTGGAAAATCTCCCAGTTAGATTTCCAGCTCAATTTCAACATGCTAACATGTTGTAGCCCTTCCAACAAATCCCAGAAACAGCTCTTCTTTAAAGGATTGCTATAATGCCTTTCAGGATGGTAACAATTCCATGGAGGAGAAAGGACACTGGGATGTACAGCCTTAGGGTAAGTCTCCCACTGTAATGGCAAAATCCACGTAACAATTAGACGTTCCATCACTCCTATGCAAAACTGAAGTAGGATAGAGTTTTTCTGGAATTGCGCTTTCTCTAATTCGCAGCCTTATGTGGTTTGCTACCGGACTACAATGATTCACTTAGAGGATGAGTGAGTGGTTCAAGTATGTTTGTCTTACTTTTTTTTTTAATCCTCATCCGAGGACATTTTTCCATTTTTTGTACAGATAGAGTGGGAGGGAGAGAGAGGAAGAGAGAGAGAAACATCGATGTGAAGGGACACATCGAGTGGCTGCCACCCGCACGACCAACCAGGGCTGGGGACAAACTGCAACCGAGGTACATGCCCTTAGCGGGAACCGAACCCGGGTCTCTCCGGACCACAGGTGGACGCTCTAACCGCTGAGCCAAACCGGCCAGGGCATGTTTGCCTTACTTTTTAACCTTTCCCATCGGGCTCCGGATACATATAAGATCAAAGTATTTCCTCTTCTTTCAGTCTTCATTCAGCCAGTATTTTTTCATAGCTTACTATGTACCAAGCTCTGCACCAAGTCCTGGGAACATGACAATAAACCAGCCTGCTGTGTATGCTCCCATACCTTAGAATCTGACCCGAGTTAGACTCTAATTTATTATTATAAGAATAATAGTCTAAGTGTCTTCCATAACCATATTCCTCTTATGAGCAAGAAAATACTTTCTACCTAGGACCACAGGTAACTAAATCAGGGCTGGCCCCAGGGCAAAGGCACCCGAGGAAGCCTGACCGTGATGCTCTGAGACAGTGCTCCACACTGGGCAGTGACCCGTCTATCCAATCAGAACCGCTCTCTTCGGCAGTTTGAGTGAGAGATACACAATCTGCACACATGGCAATGACATAAGAAAAGATATATCTGAAAGAAGTGAATAAGCAGAGGCCACAAGGCAGCAAAGGCTTTAGGTAAACTGAAGACATGATGGTGCCAGACCATTAGCTTGGGTATATAGGAGAAAGAGCAGACAGATACCGTAGAGCGTAGTATCTGAAATTCATTCATTAATAATACTTGAGCATTTACTATGTGACAAGCATAGGTGCTGGGGATAAAACGGTGAATAAAAACACACAACAGACACTGCTTGAACATCTATAATATTCTAAGTGTCATTCCAGATCTTTGAAGTCTGCCTATATAGCAGTTAAGACGGTTCCTGTCTTCCTTACCTTCCTGAATATTCTTACCAAAAAGGCCCCTCAAAAAGAGTAATCTAAACTAGTCTGTGCTCCCTAACATGATAGAGCTCTACAAACTCATGTCCCTGATTCATGGTTTAACAAAATAACTTTGAGCAAAACAAAGTTACTATGCAATACAGAAACAGAACAGGGTTCTCACTCTGAAGGTACTTAGAATCTGGTAGGCAATTCAATACTGTAAATACCCCAGCCACTTTGCGCACCTGCTACATGTGTAACTTTCTCAAGTGCAGCAAACTTCTTTTCATGATTTACCTATTTTCAGACCAGGGACAAAGGGACAAGAGCAGAACTACCTTATAAAGGTCTCAGAATAAGGCCAAGATTCTGTCCATAGAAAGTGACCCATTCAACTTTCACCTCTTTTCCTAAGGGCAGCAATAAAGCCTTCAATGCCCATGGCAAGCATTCTAGGTTACCTTGACAGGACTGAAACCACCATCTCATTTCACTGGGCTGAGAATTAGTTAAGCACATGTCAATCAGGAACATCATGCCTTTTTTTTTTTTTTTTTTTTTTAAGGTAAGGTAATTTTAATTATCATTTACATTAGGGAGGAAATTATGAACAATTAGCATCCCAAGCCCTACTTATAGCACAGGGTTAACCAATGGGTTGGAAAAACCGCGGTTCCTTTCAATTTCGGAGTGCTTTACTTTCCCTTCTATGTTCTGCGCTTTAACAGCTGTAATTAGACACAGTTACTCTAGCAGCAGTGTGATTCACCAAAAGCAGTTCTGTAAGAAATGACAGCTTTGGGAATAAAAGTAATTATAGAACTAGGAGAGTTTTCAATGCATTAGTTTCCGAGGCCTCTTCTAGCCTCAGAAAGTAGACTTTGCATCCTTTTGAGGACCCAAAAGAACATTTTTCTTTTCTTTCTGAGTAACTGAAAGCCTACTAGGTTCCAATTTAAACTGAACTACTATTAACAGTATTTTGAGAAAATTAATGACTAACACCACCTTTGAAGTATTTCCTAACTCTCCAGAAGAGTACCTGGCACAGAGTCGGCATTTATTAAAAGTTAATTGGAAATAAAAATGATCCTGATGGTCATTTACACCGAGATTTGCTACTTCGGTAGATTTTCCAGAGTTTGCTGTTGTCTTCTTTGTCGTAAATTCATCTACCTAAATGCTTAGTTGTTAGAACAGTGGGAGATTTTGCTCTTGAAGTGCTATCGTGGCTTCTGTTTTCCTGCTCCTGCCAATGTTGGTGAACCTGACACCCACATCGCATGGAGGGCAGCCCTGCCTCTCCCATTCCGTTCTCAGGCTTGTTTAATCTATAAGCTCTAAGTTGGACATTAAAGACAAAAACAAAAAAATCAGAAAGACTGTATTATTAATTAGAAGGGAACTGTAGATTGATCAAATAGTTGATCTATGATGCAGCATCTTTTACTCCGATTGCCAAGGCTGGCTACTTGAATGATTATCCAAGTAACTGTGTGGGAAGGTCTGCTTGCCTGCCCTAAATATTCTCAATCTTATTCTTGGTTGGAGCCAGATAATCAGAGAGCTATGCATCTAAACTGTATTGTTTCACCTCCTCAGAGAACCGCCTTTGCTGAAATGCGCTCTGACTCATCCCACCAGCCTGCATGAGGGACTTGAAAGAACTGCATATGACACTTGGCATTACATGGATCGTAGTACTGATTTGGTGACACTCAGGAACCCAGACCTAGATGTGGGGACATTTACTGTATCTTTTTGGAAATCCATGGGAGAAATTTTTCCAGGTGAAGCTGTGTTTCATCTCGAACAACCACTGTTTTGTTCTAACTTTATAGATACTATAAGCCTGTCATTGTTAAACTTTTAACTTCTATTTGGCACATAATATTTGCTCAATAAATATCTGTTGAATGAATGGATTTCCTCCATGCTCTGACCACTGGCTGAAAGGCAAACATATTCCTGATAGGCAAACCTGATGACTTGGAGTTTTGACTCTATCCCTGACCTCACTTTATTTGGGGGGAGGTGGGGGTTAATTGTATCTTTTTTCATTTACTCGTTCATTTCACCCTTTAAACACTTTCTTTTTTTTTTTTTTTATCCTCACCCAAGGACATTTTTCCATTTTTTGTTCAGACAGAGCAGGAGGGAGAGAGAGGAAGAGAGAGAGAGAGAAACATCGACGTGAAGGGACACATCGAGTGGCTGCCACCCGCACGACCAACCAGGGCCGGGGACAAACTGCAACCGAGGTACATGCCCTTAGCGGGAACCGAACCCGGGTCTCTCCGGACCGCAGGCCGACGCTCTAACCGCTGAGCCAAACCGGCCAGGGCCCTTTAAACACTTTCTATCCTTTCCTGGAAAAGCAAGATGGGATTTAAAAAGAGTTCACAATTTGACTGTAAAATCCTGGTTTATGTTGACACTACAGCCTTGGCTAAAATGATCTCAAACTGATCTGTTCTCTCTCTCTCTTTTGTTAAAAGAAAAGCATTTTTTAAAAATGCTTTTATTGAATTTTTAGAGAGGAAGGAGAGTGACAGGAACACAAATGTGAGAAAGAAACATCAATCAGCTACCTCCTGCATGCCCCCTACTGGGACCGAGCCCACAACCCGGGAATCGAACTGGGACCTCTCAGTCCATGGGACCATGCTCAATCCACTGAGTCACACCAGCCAGGCTAACCTAACCTGTTTTCTTTTCTTTCTTTTATTTATGTTTTTATTGACTTTTTAGAGGGAGAGGAAGAGAGAGATAGAAACATCAATGTGAGAAACATTGATTGGCTGCCTCCTGTACACCCCCTGCTGGGGACTGAGCCCACAACCTGGGCATGTGCCCTGACCAGGAATCAACCCGGGACCTCTCAGTCTATGGGACGATGCTCAATCCACTGAGCCACACTGGCCGGGCCTGACCTGTTTTCTATTCCTCTCTGTAATTAACTCAAAACAATTATGATTTTTTAAAAATTTTCTATTTTCAAATGCATTATTAATTTACTTTGACCCTACTGTTGAGCTGGTTCCTCTTCCAAAGCAGGGACGGTGCAGCGTTTTATCTGGCTCTGTATGTGCTCAGAGAACCAACACAGCTGCATCAATGCTCAAGCTCCTTGAAGAGCTAGTGTCGTTTTGGAAAATGAATGAGAAAAAGATTTAAATTTAAAATTGTGAAGAAAGGCTGAATACTAATTTAGATTCTCTGGAGGAATGCAGCATGGGTAAGAGAGAAAAGGCTTTATTTAAACCAAAGTGCAGCTTTGGGGTGATTCAGCGTGTTGTAAGCAAGATGGAGAGTGAGGGTGTTCTGGTACCCAAATTAGCATGAAGAATTCTCTTCCCAGTTAAGTGAGCACTATTCTCTCACTCTTACATTCCTTTCCAGAGCTCCACAGAGATGGGTGCTAATAACAGACATTTAATTCAGTGTCTCTAAAACTGGACTAAGTTCATGCCAGGATTAGTTTCTGCCCTGGTTTGTGTCCTCTGTTTGCAACCTACAGTATCTTGCCACAAGACAAAATTACAATTCTAAGACCTTTTTGATAAACATCATCTGTGTCCTTACTAGGCTCATATTTTTTTTTAAAAAATCCTCAATTCCCTTCCATATTTATCACATGAAAATTTAATGATGTTATAAACACCGAACACGCACACACTGTGTAAAGAATTACAAACGGACAGCAGGATGACAAGGGGAAAGGGAAGAACCAGTGATACTCTTAAGCTAAATATGACACCTATTCCTCTGAGTAGCTGTCAAAATGTTTTGATCAGCTAGAATGATTTTTCAGACTCTTACTTTAAAAATAGATGGACCGCTGATTGACAGTGAGAGCTGTTTTCTTATACAGATACTTTGCTGTAAAATATTTATGGTGAAAAGATTTGATGCGTTTTACTCTGAGGATAAGTATGCTTAATATTAATGCTGACACCCCTGTGACCCAAAGAGCTAAAGCTGGCTCCAACCACAGGGCTCCAGAAAGTTATGGAAAAGAACCTGTTAGCTTGATAAGTCAGAACTTACTGTGGAGCAAGAAAAAGAAAACTCAGAAGAATATAAGCAGCATGATCTCTAAAACCACAATTAGAAAGTACTTGTATAATTGTGAGAGTTGCTGTGTCTGGCTAGCGTGTGCCCCCCTCATGCCCGTCTGCCTTCTGATCAAGGCTCCTTTCCCAGAGGGAGCCTCTTATGTTTTGGGGCTGGACTCACCCCATCCCCCACCCTGAGGGGGCATATGACTTAGGCCTGGTCCATCAGGGACACCCGGTGACCACTTGGTGAGACTTGGCAGGAATGGCTTCTTTCCTCTGGGTTGCTAAGCTGCCAACCCTGGTGGAGGCCATACTACTTCCCTGAAGAAAAACTTGAACATGAAGCTGAGCAGAAGCAAGAACCAGAGACACAGCCCTGAAGACGCTCTGAATCCCTAGAGCCAACTGCACTTAATCAATGGCCCTTTCAGTGTTTGGGGGTTGAGGAAGGGTCTTAACTGAGTTTAAACTGGACTTCAGCACTTCCCTGTGGCAAATTTCCTAATACAAGAACAGTACGAGAGAGAGATGCAGTGCTGCTGGCTCTGAAGATGGAGGGTCCCAGAACCAAGGACTGCAGGCAGCCTCGAGGAGCTGGAAAAGGTGAGGATGCACATTCTCCCTAGAGGTTCTGGGAAGGACTGCAGCCCTGCGATGCCTTGACCTTAGCCGGGTGAGACACACGTTGGACTTCTAGAGAACTTCAAGATGATAATAATATTAATAATAAAAATTGGTGTTGTTTTAAGCCTCCAAACTAATTTCCAAGTATGGAAAGATGTAGAAAGCTCTAGAAGGGTTTCACAGTGTTATTTCTGTGGAATGGAAATGAGGGTGAAAGAAGAAAAAGAGGGGGTTATTTTTTTAAACAAAAAAATTTATATAATTTTTGTTAGTTTGAAAAACTAATTTTAAAGAAGTCTAAGAGAGGAACCAGAATAAAAATCTAAGAGTCATAGGTATTACCACCCACCCAGGTGAGTCAAAATAGCAGCTGCTCCCCAAATCCAACAGGGCAGCACAGACGTGGCGTGAGGAATTCTGACCAGCAGCATCATTGTGCTATTTAACACAAGGGGTCAGCGAATGAGCCAACACACCCACTGCACACCACACATCCGCAAGACAGGCCCGTCCAGCAAGCCCAGTCCCCCTGGAAGGCCCCTACTTGCAGGGGCTGGGACTCAACTCTCACATGCATTTGTGAAGCTGATTTTGAAGACAAGGCTGGGGGAGGCAGGGAAGAGAAGCCAGAACAGTAATTGGCCTACAATTTAGCCCACTTTGCAATAGTAAAATCAACAAATTGCCAACAAATTGCTATGCTAATGAAGAACTGCAGGCTCTGCAAGGAGCATTTACAGTAAGAAAAAAAGCAATCCGTTTACACCACTCTGTAGAACTAGCTGCCATTCAGGAGGTCCCCTGCTGAATGTTAAACAGCTTCTTGTAGGGAAAAGGGGAAAGCAGGCTGGCTGCTGGGTCCTGTGTTCTCCAGTCTCGCTGACGTGATGCTGAAGACATCATGCCACAGGGCGGGCTGGTGCGTGTGCAAATCAACTGTGGCTTCCTACTAACGAACATCCAGTGCAGCGGCTGCATCGATATGTCCAAACACTTTCAGACAGGAAAATGCCTGCCCCTCCCCCGATGAATATCATATTTAAAAATGGTGGTTCTTTCATGGAACACACACCTTTTCTAAATTCATTTCATTTTACTTAGACAAGAGAAGTGAGTCTGATACATTCCAAGCCTGGTGAAGGACAGTCCAGGCACTGGGCTACCTACAGAAACAAGGCATTCCTTTTGTTCTGCCTCAGTGAGGTCTCAGGAGTACACGCCCAGAGGACAATGGCCACAGAACAATGCGGCCCAAACCACTTCACTGTGGTCTAGCCTGGTCATTCATCAGCAGCGACAGAGGGTGAAGGAGAGGCCATCGTCTGGCAGGGGTGTTTCTGCTTTACACTGACAGGAAATTATTTCTATTTTCTTCTTTTTCCACCTTCTTTTCAACTTTCCTCCTCTTAGTTGAAAAGGGATATGGCGAGGGAGAGGACAAAAAATGTCATGCCAGAGGCCTAGGCTAACGGGTAGCGTTTGAAGGGTACAAATAAAGTGCCCCGAGGATGCACAACAAGTCAGGTCTCCTTGGCCTTTGCCATCTGTCTACCAGGAATAAACGAGGGTCGACTTTATATTCCAACCAAAGGACAAAAAGGCTGCTTTGACAATTCAGGCAGAAAATTTATTTCAAATATAAAACAGAATTTAAAATTGTCTTTTGCTCTAAAAGCAAAAATTTCAAACATTGTAAGTATATTAAAGTAGTTAGATTAGTTTCAGTTTTTACTCACCAGAGGTAGAACATGTTTTAAAAGACTCCAGTGGAGGTTACTAGTGCACTGCAGTCAGAGACCCTAGAAACACATTCTGAAAAGGCTTCTTTTGACTTCTAGTGTTGAGGTAAGGTCTATGCCCCTCCCCGCCATCAAAAATGAAAGTAAATGGTTTGATGACATTACACTGACCACTAACTTGACTGTGTGACACAAATAAAAATGATTTGAGTAACACCTTAAAACTTACAAAGCATGTACCCCAATACAAGTCTCAATCTTTGTACCTGTGGGACATATAGAGTGGGTATTATTGGCATACTTTACTAATGGGAAAAAAAAAAAGAGTAAAAATATCATTCCACTTATTTCCCTGAAACGTGTCCCTCTGACAGTCACCTGCCAGCTGCGTGTGATGAGTCACTTACCGACACACAGGATGTTGAAACAGAACCCTTGAGACGTAGACTTGTTGACCAGCTGGTCAGGAAGACTGTCAAATCCCACATGGCCAGAAAGGGACAAGTTTCGAAGCTCTTCATTCTGGAATTTCAGAGGGGAAATGTTTGAGAATCCATGAGCTGTGCCACGTAAGGACATCACCTCTCCCTCTTTCTTTTGGACATGCACGGAAAAGGAGCTTCCCTCTCCACCCTCACCTGCCTCGGCTTCTGCACAGCTGCAGGTACTAACAACCCCAAAGCCACGCTCGTTCCACAAAATCACGCTGACTGCCAAAGTGGACTGTCTCCCAACGTGCTTCGTTCTGTTACATGTGCACTGGTCCAGGGAAAATTCAGCCGCCAGAGGTGACTAGTTCAGATACGAGACATAAAACTCTCCAACCATTTTGATAGCTTCGAACACTCAAGAAAAACTTTCAAATTATTTTCAAGTCAGAGTAAAAATAAATAAATAACACTCTTCCAGATGCACTGAAGGAGCTTTGAGAAGTTTGCAGTGGCCCTGGCCAGTTTGGCTCAGCGGTTAGAGCGTCGGCCTGCGGTCCGGAGAAGTTTGCAGTGGAGGATAAATACTTATTACAATTACAGAAATTCTTAATGCAACATTTAAAACTACTCAGCCCATGAACTGGTCCCATGTCCCCCTTTAGCTGGACAGGCTTCTTCCGGCTTCTTTGCTTTCCCCCTACACAGATCCTAGCATGGGCTCTTCATCCCGCCTCTCGGAGTTCACTGAAGGGGGCTGGATTAGGTGGTTACACATTTCAAAAGTTCGGCGATTTATGCTATTTTCTAAATGGTGCCGGCTGCCTCCACTTTGAAGGCATCCATGGGTGTTGGAGATAACTTGTGAGACCTTTCTTTTCCAGGAAAGCAGGGTTCATCGATGGTCCTTCAATGACAATACCATGGTTAAGGTTTGGGATTCCAGAAACTAGATACTGAAAGCCTTATTGAAAACAAGACTCGTGGTGTTCTGGCTATGTGGCCAACAAACTTTATATTCAAATTACTGAAGTTTAGATAAGAAAAAGAGCCTCGAATTTACCTAGTTGAATAAAAAGGAAAAAGCTTTACCCAGGGTCACTTAGTCAACATATTTAAAAAATAAAATACTGTTTTCATTATGCTTATTTTGTGTTAAGATGATGGTGAGAGCGACTGCTTTTAATCATCAAGAACCGAGACTCCATTTCCAAATCGCTCTGGGTCCCTACGTGGGCAGAGAGATGAATGTAGTGATTTTAAAGGGCTGTTTTGGGAACAATATAATTCTCAGGTCCTCCTCGCTGGCTCTAAAATCCTGATTCTGTGAAAAAGACTAAAAGCCATCAGGCTGCCTGAATACCATGGTGGCAGCTGCAGGTCTGAGGTCAATGGGACAGAGAACAGATGCTCAGTCTATGAATAGTTTCCTTGAAACCTGCCAACAGTGAATGTGAGCCTCAAGAGTGGGCACTTATCCTTGAACAGGATGGCACGGTGGGCAGCTCACCAACAGCTTCCGGAGCAGGCCCCAGTGGGCAGCAGTCCTGGTGGCTGGCCCGGCCTCCCCAACACACCACATGGTCCTAATTCTACTCTGTCACCGATCCCTTCCTCTTCAGATACCTCAAAGGTTCAAACAGCAGGTATTTTTAGGGCGTTTACCGCATCCGCCAAGACGTGGGGGAGGAGGGTCTGAAATGAGTCTGGGTTATATTTAGAGCTCTCTCCATCACAGCTGTGCAGGGGCTGCTGCGTATCAGGCGGGAGAGGCCCCACCAGCCTCCATTTCAGTCACAACCCTGACTAGAACAGTCAGCAGATGGCATAAAAGGAGACAAGGCTGGGAAGAACCATCACCCTACATTCCCTCTCCTCTCTGCCACAATTTTAATTTCCAGGGATCGGCAGGGGGCATGGTTCATTGCTCTGGATTGTGGCATGTTGGGTTTTTACTCAGATATCCACCCATGAGGCAATCCCGGTAAAGAACCAGAGTTAGTAATTATAGCTCTCATCCCAGAACCCAGTGCTCAGCATCTCATATTCTCACCATTTCCAAAACATGAGAAACCACCCACACATCCACTGAGTATTTTTATACCCACTGAAAAACCACACATAAAATGAAGGGTTATAAAACAGTTCGGTCCTAAAATTTTTTGAATTTGAAGTTGTGTCTTCAGAGTCTTTGTCTTCTAACTTGGTAACATAAAATGTGTAATTGTTATGCCATTTTTAAATTCCAGAACCTGAGCCTAATTCTGTGCCCAGTATTAAAGGAGTCCTGGGAGTTACTGCCCGTCAGCTTGTGCCGGGGAAAAGGGACACAGGCGTTTCTCCTTTGGTCCATGAACAGGCCAAAAAGCTGCAAGGCCCGTGGGAAACGCGAGGAGTTTAACTCACACAGGACAGTGGAATCAAATCCTTGCTCCAGCGTTTATGGTACCATGCCTGCTGCTTCTGTCCAAACAATGTGGGGTCTCTTCTGAGTCTATAGGCGGGGGCTCAGGGAATCTCATCCCTCGTCTCTACCACTCTCAGAATTGAGGAACTTTACCTCTGAAACCAATCTCTTTGCCTGCGTTTCAGTTCTGAATTTCTATCAAAGGACCGGGTACTTCTCTTGGGTTATCCTGTCTGTACCTCAAACGGACATTCACCAAACTGAAATCATATTCCTCTATCCCAAATCCACCTGTTAGTGGCATTTATCTATGCTTGAGACCCACCTACCCCCTGTATCAACGCCAAGGTGCTATCAATGTCTCAACCTCTCCTATTCTTACTGACTCAACAGCCTTCTAACTGGTCTTCTTGCCTAGATCCTATTCCCTCTAATGCTCTGTGCCCTGCTGCCAAAGGGACCTTAGTACTCAAAGGCCCACAACCCAAACCCCTGCCTGCCATCTCAAGACCTCCCTGGGCTAAACCCAAATCGCGATTTCTACTGGATCTCCCTTCTCCCCGTGGAGACCTTACAGGGCAGTTCAAGGGAACGTACCCACCTTGCCTGGGACAATCCCAGGTTTCTCCCCATCAGAGCTGACTCACACTGTCTCCTCCATCTGGAAGGGCCAATGTTTACACATGCAAACCTTCCAGATCTCACTGAGGTTTTATCTCCACCACTGTCTTTGTTATGAAATTTCAGTAAACATACCCCTTTTACCAATAAAAGGAGAGCAATGACTGGATAAAGGTGGCTCAAGCTATTTGGTATTTCAGGATCATCAGCATAACAGCTAACATTTCTTGACCATTTCCAAGGTCCAGAAAAGCCCTAAACATGAATGAACTAGTTAGTGTACCTTAAAAGGTCTATGAAATAGTTACTATCATCACTCAGTCTCAGCTTACAGATGAGAGAAAACAGCACAGAAGATTAGTAACTTGCCCAAGGTCACACAGCCAGTAAGCAAAGGAGCTGAAATGTGACATTAGTCCCTGCTATCTCATAATGATCCGAGTCAGGACTTTCAACCTTTTTCATCTCGTGGCACACACAAACTAATTACTAAAATTCTGTAGCACACCAAAAATTATATATTTTGCCAACATGACAGAAAAATAGGTATGATTTTGATTCATTTGCACTAAACAGCTATTGTTGTCATTTTTACATTTGACAGTCTAAGGGAAAAGAGGTCAGTGCCCTGACTAGTCAGGTAGTGCACATTTTTAAAATTCTTGCAGCATACCAGTTGAAAATTGCTGATCTAAGTTCCCAGTAGCCCCAGACAATACAATGATCTGAGTGTCATAAAATCCAATATGTTAAAATAGAAAGAAAAAAATTTCTCTAAAGTTGTCATTCGTTGGCAACCAGAAGAGGTGGAAGTCAAGAATTAATATTGGCAAAGTAGCTCCAAGGCTATATCTTCACTGGTCCTGGCAAGGCTGGGACTAGATGCTGATTTTTGAAGCATGACTCAGGAAGCCAATAATATAAAGCTCATTTTTGACCAACAGGAAGTCACTAAGTAAGAAGACCTTAGCTGATTTAGTCCTCCACTAGTTAATCTATCTAGGTCTGTACTAGATGATTTGTATGCCTCCTCTACCTTGAAATGGGTTGTGATTAAATTCTGTGGCATAAAATAAAATAACCAGTCTTTAATTTGAAAAATCTCATTTTTCTCTTTTCAGAACATCTCCACATAGACACAATTATTTGTTCATTCAAAAATACTGCTCAAAGCACTAAGGGAGCAAAATATGCTATTTTTGTTGTTCACTGAGAAACTCGTCCTGCCTTTAATGGGGGTACAATGTAGCAATAGGGGCAGGACATAAGTAAAAGTAATGCTACTGAGGACAACAGTGATAAACACCAGGACTTTAACTACAGGATGATATTGCGGGGGGTAGGGGGTAGCTTTTAGCTAAGGAAAATCAGAAGGCACCATTTAGGAAGGCCAGGGCTCCCAAATCTATCAGGGTAACAAGAGTCCAGTTTGCAGAAGACTTCCAGATAAATGCTATCTATGCCCAAAGTGTCACTTAATTATGAATGTATACTCTGAAGTCTATAGTTGACATGTTTTTCAGATGATGTCAGTTTGACTCATTATTAAAATAGTTATAGAACAAATTATATAAGAATGTGTGCCCACACTTACATTCAAAGTGCTGCTTTAAAATATGTTCCACAGTTCCAAACCCTGCTTAACCAGAAGCAGGGTGGCAAAGGCTTGGACGCTGACAGCCGTGGGTTTGAATCCCAGCTTTGCTTCCTACTTGCTTTAGTTTGTGTTTCTCCATCAGTAAAAATGGAGCACTTGGCAGGGTGGTTGGGAGGAGCTCACGAAATGGCATGTATGAGAGAGCCTAGCCTTTAACGGATCCTCAGAAAACCTGGGTTTCCTTTCCCTAAATTAGGTGGGAGGAAGAGACAACCGTAATTTCAACGTCTGGATGAATTAGGAGCTCTCCCGGGGCTGCTGGGCATGCCAGGAGAAGCTGCTGATCAGCCAAGCCCTCAGACTAACCATGAAAGAGAACCACAAAGGGAAGAACAGAGTGAAAAAAAAGGATATGGAAGCGAGAATGAGGATCGTAGCAGGAAGAAAATCCACCTTAAATGGGAAAATC